TGTTAGGTTGTAATGGAATTGTTATATCGCCAGGGGATTATGGCTCAGGATTCTGATAGTTGGATTTGGGCTTCTAACAGCAAGGCTGCGCCACTGCAAACCTTGGCATATGGCGTCCGGACGCCCAAGCCCAGATCCTTAGATTATCCCAACCTTAATTCGTTAAAAATGACAAACACTTCACCTTCACAACAAATCAACAATCAACAAACTTCCTCCACATACATTGTTCCCATACTCTCATGCTTGAACAACATGCAAAGAAAAATAAAATTGCCTCCACGCGGGCTCACGATTTATCTAAGAATTGAAGTGAAGTCAACGTTCGGAGGCTTGTGCAATCTTCCAAATTAAGTTTTTTCAGACATTTGAGTTGAATGAAGCTTGTTGGTATGCTAGAGAAATTGCTTCCACTTAAATTTAAATAAGGTAAAGTGCTCAATTAGTTCATTCCTTTTTATCATTTTTGTATTGTGCTGGGGGTTGTATGACCTTGGTTGTCGGGATTGTGTGTGTGAGCTTGATCCGATGTCTTGATTCATGGGCTACTACTAAGCATAGCTTTTCTACACCTTTAATGAATGATTAATGAGGGGTGTTGACCTTAATGATTTCATCCAAGGACAATTTAGAGGTTTTGATGATAACAAACCATTAATAAAGATTAAATCTTTGAAAGAAAATAAGAGTTTTGAGTTAAACTTTTTCGAGTTCCCTTTGACGTCACAAAAAGTGTTAATGAGTAAAGATTGAATCTCTGAATGAAATTCTCTCAATCAAGGTACCTATTATGGCAGCATATGCCACATGTTAGAAAAAATTTGCATGAATGGTAATTCATTATAGTAGTGTAGAAATTAATTTTTAATGGATATCTTAGGTAAAATAAGTTTGTAACGACCTAAACCTGGGGGTCTGGAGGAGTCCTTACCCGAACTTGAGGTCATCTAAGGGCAATACGATCATTTCCAATGTTCTAATATAATTAATACATTATTCTAAGGTTTGTAGTACTCCATAGCTATCCCCAGCGCGTGCCAGCGCGTGGGGATGAGTTGCAGCTCCTCCAAGCGCGTGCCAGCGCATGCGGGGTCCTTCGGGCGCGTTCCAAGCGTCGTTTTGCTTCTCCTAACCCAAAATTCAGGGGGTGGATCCATATATATAGTCTCAAGTAAATCTCCATTAAGAAATGCATTATTAACATCTAACTAATGCAGATGCCAAGAATGGGCAGCAGCTAAGAGCTGATAGTGGACTGTGAGGCTATAACGCGGGCTATAGGCTGCCACCACAAATGCCCTGCTGCTCTTCAGGGGTAGTTTCCTCAGATTTCCCCATTAGCCCCTTCTTGAGCCGCAGCGTCCGTAATAACAATCTCTTTCTCTTCTTCAGCAGAGAGCTTACAGAAATCAAGAAGGGAGGCAAGATCGTCCTCCATAACACCAAAGAAAACCAGAGCTTGACGTAGCAAGAAATAGGAGCAAACCAGAGCCACTTGACTAAAAACTGTTTGGAAACTCCTCTCACTCACCCACCGGAGAATGAAGAAGAAAGCCCTCTAGTCGCAGCTAAGGGAGTTATGTTGTGTTTCATTCAAGTAGTTGAAATACAAAGGGAAGACTTAGATAATTTTTTTAAAAAAAAATGTATTTGTTGTGTAGTGGATCTTTTACATTATCAATTCAGATTGTCTTTGGTTTAAATTTTATTTTTTATTTTTTATTTAAAAAGAAAAAAAGAAAAAGAAAAAGAAAAGTAAACTCCAGTAACAGTTACAATACTACTTTTCACACGGCATGCTATTATACTAACTTGAACCGCTAGACACGGCTGAAGGGTTTTTCAGGTAGTCTTGCAGTTCATTAGTTCTGCAAGGACTATTTACTGTGGACCCTTTAACTTGGTGGCATATTTGACCAGAACCTAATTCATTGTTTAGTTAGGTGTTTGAGATGTTTTGATAATTGTGGTGGGTGGTCTGATTGCATAATAAAGATGATCCATGCAACAGTGTTAGTGAGAAGGAGTGTTGATTAAGTCATTCCCAGGGAACATGAACTTTCCTTGTAGTTAAAGGAAAGAATTCACTAGTTCTATAAGTAAAAAGCATCAAAGTATGAAATTGGGATAATCCACCATGAAGAACTTGTCACACAATAGACAAGAAGAAGAAACTACAAGTATCAGTCTGTCGGCATTAATTGATCATCTTATGTCAACACAAGTTAGTGATCATGGTTCTTTCGAATCCATGAACCTGGAAGGAAGGAATGTTGGGGCAGCAATGATTATGCGGCGTGGCACTTCCGGTGAGTCGCATGGCTGTTGTGGCATAAACTTTTACATAAACAACAATATTCAAGGTGTGAACAATTCGGTTTTGATTGGTAGTGAGGTGCATATGGGTGACCCTGGAGTTTGCTTGTCATCGAGGGATGTGAAGTTTGGTAATGGAGCTCTGGAAACAAACAAGAAAAAGAGAAGCAATTCAAATCTGGGGTTTTGTTGGATGTTAGTGTTTGTTTTCATTGTTCTTTTCTTGCTAATATCATTGTTCTAGCATTCATTATATATATCCAGATTCTAGATTCCCATCATTTGACTGTTTGTCTGTTGTGGTGTTTGGTACTCTTTATGAATGCTAATATCTCTTTTAGAAATTAGGTTCTTTGAAAACCATAGTAACACGCACACACACATATATATTCTTGGATCAATTCTAACAAGAGTACCTCATTAGGAATATAAATGTATATAATAATGGACATTGTGTATACTGAATTAGAATATGGAAGGCCTGATGTCTGGTTTGTATTAAAGAAACACCTTTCCCGGTTTAATCCAATGTTATAAATGAAAGAGAATTTGGGAACAAGATATGAGGACGATTTGAAGATAAACTTGGTCTGATGCAATAATGCAACTGTGTTGTCGGCATTCATTTTAATTCGAGCATTGTTAATTTTGGGGTCCAATGTCGTTTGGTCACCAACAAGTTAGTGGTTAACCACTCTTTTACGATATGATGCTGAATCCTTGGAAAGAAGATCCCGACATGGCCGGCCACAATCAATTGAGAAACACACAAGGTTGAAAATGTCCTGTTTATGTGTGTGTGTGTTTAATTTAATTTGGTGAAGTGTATATATATGAACTTATTTCTCTCACACTTTGTAATTGTTAAATAAAAGCAACTAATCCAAAATAATTGTTAAATGAGAACTCAATTTATATTTGAACTTGTAGTTGTCAAAGGAAAGGAGAGCATCTGGTGGTGTGTGTGTGTTTGTTGTGTATATATATGTGTGTGTAACTTTCAGTTTCTGTCCCACCTAATTGTAAAATAAAAGCATCCAGCGAAGTGTAGGACACAAACCTTCAATCTCTCTTTAACTTGTACTTGTTAAATGAGGACAGGAGAGCATCTAGGTTGGAACAGAACAGCCATGATAGAACAAAAGCATAACAAAGAAGAAGATATAAAAGAGAGATGAAAGTTGTAAGGTTTGTTAATACACTGGTAAATTATCCTCCTCTTGATTGCTCTGTTTTGTCCAATGTTGAAAAATGGTAATCCATCCATGCTACCCTTCTCTCCCACTCTCTCTTTCCCTTGTTCTAAACAATGGAAATGTGGTTTCTGTCCTGTTTCTTGTTCCTACCAAACAAACGCTTCTTTTTCATAACCCACATTATTGTATGAGGTTGAGTCCCACCTGAATAGTGAATACTCTCCACTCATCTCAAGGGCCCCTCACATGGGTTGTGTTTGAGGGCATTGGTTACCGCAGCCACACTTACAATTCTTAATGACAAAGCCTAAATTTCGCTGTCTTATTTACTGCTACCATCTCTTTTAGGAAGGAAAAAAAAGAAAAAAGGAAAGCTCCAATGTGACCACAGATACCCTCTAAGAATGCATCTTTTGTGATCTAACCAGTTGAAGATGCCAAGAACCATTCAACATGGAATATAAAAAGTTCTTCTATTCTATATAATAAATACAGTAGACTTGTTCTTTCTTGTCTGTACTGGAAATAAAGAATGAAAATGACAATTTCACAACCAAATTCACTGTCAATGTGTCATTAAATTTAATGTATTAAAAATATATTTAATTATGTTAGTAAATTTACAGTAAGATAGACAATCCACTACAGTTGATTCAGGCCATGGGCTGACCCATATGGCCCTAACAACCAAAAAAAACTTACCCACAAAAAATTCTCCCCCTTTTCTATAATAAAAGATATTTTCTTGGAAACCGTGACCTAATTATGGAACCGAAAGAGTAAAAAATAAAAACTTACCCAAAACAAAAAAAATAAAATCATTCACTGTATGAAAAATGCTTGGATCAATGTGTCATCATATATATATATTTCATGTTAACGTAAATTTAATGTATTAAAAGTAAATTTAATTGTGCTAGAAAATTTACAGTTAACAAGACAACCCACTACAGCTATTCAGGTCATGGGCTGACCAAATGGCCCTATTAAATCAACAACAACAACAACAACAAAAAAAAAAAAAAAAAAAACTTACCCAAAAAAAATGCTCCCTCGTTTTCTTAATAAGTATCATATTTTAAGACGGTAACTTATTATGGTACGGGAAGTAAAAAATAAAAACTTACTCAAAAAAGAAAAAGAAAAAGAAAAACATGCTAGTAATTGAAAATTCACTGTATCGACGGCTGTGATTCGGTCATCCAGATCTCGAAACGTAGGACCCAGAAACATCTCAACCAATATATGTGCTCCACGTTTACTGTTGTTTCTCTTTCATTGGACTATCATCACCGCAAACAAACCCTCATGGTCACATCCCTCTTTTTCTCTCTTCCCTAAAAAGCCCTTCTTTTAACTCTACGTGATTTAAGGTCCACGTGTCAACAATCCATCAGCTACCGACACGAAAGGACGCCATAGCGCACGTCTCTAACCTACGCCACCTCGTCTCCTCTCGCTTAAATACGCCTCCTTCCGCTGTATAAACTTTATACTACCCCCTCTTTCGCAGTTTCTCTCTCTTCCCACTCAAGTAATATAAGTTTCTGGACTTTCCTCGGTCGTCTCTCTACAACTATACGCGTGAGTAATCATTTATTCATTCAATCTCTCTCTGTTAACGAATCTATGTAAAAGTTTGATCTGTTAATTTTGAATTCTGAAAATCTATGACAGATCGAACCTAATTCAGTTGATTTCTCCTGATTCGTCATAGTCCTTTATCTCTTTTATATAGATTTCAGTTTCATTTTCGTTCTGTTTCACTTCCATTATTAAGCTCCAATCCATGCGTTCGTGATTTGATAATTATGATTTGAGCTTCTTTGTTCTATTTGAAACTATTTTTGTTGAATTTCAGAATCATTATTGCAATTAGTGTTGGTGTTTGTGAGATTTGTTCGATGGTTGATTTTCTGTCGGATTAGGGTTTTGGTGGTGGTGATATAAGTGTTGGGGGTGTTGAATTGAATTCATAATTTGGCTTTTATTTGTTATTTTGATGAGGGTAGTTGGTGTATTATCTGTTAATTTATTCTTCGGAGTGTTATGAGACGCCGTTCTCCATCGAGTCCTAAGTCTGAACTTATGGAAAAGGGGACTGGAAAGAGTCAACAGTCCCGGCTTTGTTTACTAGCGTCCTTATCTGCATTTTTCTGGTTCTTGTTATTGTACTTCCATTTCGTTGTCTTAGGAAGTAGTAATATTGTTGATGATTCGGCACAGTTGAAACCCATTTCTGTTTTTGTCGAATCTAACAATGCTCATCCAACCATTGACAAACCCAGCAATGTCCAACCTCTGCCTATTAGTCGTCCCATGACTTCTAGTCATCCAACATCCGAGAATCGCCCAATACCTACTGGTCCTCTGACATCTAATGTTGTGGGTAAATCAGATATTTACCCCTTTATGAGGGCCTTGAGAACCATAGAGAACAAGAGTGATCCATGTGGTGGGAGGTATATTTATGTTCATGACCTTCCTCCGAGGTTCAATGAGGATATGCTTAAGGAGTGTAAGAGTCTTAGCGTCTGGACCAACATGTGTAAGTTCACTACTAATGCCGGGCTTGGCCCCCCACTGGAGAATGTTGAAGGTGTGTTCTCGAATACTGGATGGTATGCTACAAATCAGTTTGCTGTTGATGTGATTTTTAGTAACCGAATGAAGCAATATGACTGTTTGACGCGTGATCCTTCTCTTGCTGCTGCCTTTTTCGTGCCTTTTTATGCGGGTTTTGATATTGCTCGTTATCTTTGGGGGCACAAAATATCGGTGAGGGATGCTGCATCTCTTGATTTGGTCAATTGGCTTATGAAGAGGCCAGAGTGGAGCATTATGGGTGGGAAAGATCATTTTCTTGTTGCTGGTAGGATAACATGGGATTTTAGACGACTTAGTGATGAAGAATCAGACTGGGGTAACAAGCTTCTTTTCTTGCCGGCTGCGAAAAATATGTCCATGCTTGTGGTTGAATCAAGTCCATGGAATGCAAATGATTTTGGTATTCCCTACCCCACCTACTTCCATCCGGCAAATGATGATGATGTGTTCACTTGGCAGGAGCGGATGAGGAAACTGGAGCGCAAATGGCTCTTCTCTTTTGCTGGTGCTCCACGTCCTGACAACCCCAAATCAATTAGAGGGCAGATCATTGATCAGTGCAAGAACTCCAAGGTAGGAAAGCTCTTGGAATGTGATTTTGGGGAGAGCAAGTGTCATTCCCCTAGCAGTATAATGCAGATGTTTCAGAGCTCTCTCTTTTGCCTGCAACCTCAAGGTGATTCGTACACACGAAGATCTGCCTTCGACTCGATGTTGGCTGGTTGCATACCCGTCTTCTTCCATCCAGGGTCGGCATACACACAATATACTTGGCATCTTCCGAAGAATTATTCGAAGTACTCAGTATTCATTCCAGAGGATGATATTCGGAAGAGGAATGTTAGCATAGAGCAAAGGCTGAGCCAAATTTCTCCTGAGGAGGTTAAAATAATGAGGGAAGAGGTTATTAGTCTCATCCCGAGGCTGATATATGCTGATCCTCGCTCTAAACTGGAAACCCTTAAAGATGCTTTTGATGTAGCTGTACAGGCAGTTGTTGATAAAGTTACCACGTTGAGGAGAGACATCATCAAAGGTCACACAGATGAGAATTTTATCGAAGAGAATAGTTGGAAATATGCATTATTAGAGGAAGGCCAACATGAGGTGGGAGCTCATGAATGGGATCCTTTCTTCTCGAAACCAAAGGATGGTACTGGGGATTCTGATAATGCAGCATCAGAAGCGGCTAAAAATTCTTGGAAGAATGAACAAAGACAGCATTCTTGACAAAGAGACGATAATGCTATCGACAGAGGTTGCAGTATTGCCTAATGCATAGACTGGGTATAGAACAAGGAATGCTGCGGTGACCTAAAGGTGGAATGCAGGTACCAACACTTGCCGGCCCTCGTTTGAAAGTCATTTCAGTAGTTTCCATCTAGTTTGTCAATCTCCATAACATAGAGAGAAATATTTCCTGTTTCTAATAGGTTTTTTCACGTAAATTTTTGTAATGTAATGGATATACACATGCTGCTGGATTGCCGATATTACATCTCTTCATATATTGAATGTTCTTTCTTTTCTTTTTTTTATAAAAAAAAAAATCAAGGAAATAATAATGAGTAATCTTCCAACTTTCAAGATTTTGGGTAGAAAGTTAGTGTAGAACATGATTTCGTTCACTTAATTTTTGGTTTATTTTTTATGATGGTAGATGTATGGAATTTGGGACAAGTCTGGATGAAGACTATTGAGAGTTGGAAGATGATGAATGAGTCCCTTGTGTAGAGCCAATTTTATTATTGTCTGTAATTATTGACTATGAAAAACATCGATAAAAAAAAGTGAGATCTTTCAAATTGTTGAACTTTGGATCAGTGTACACCCTTAGCAAGCCATTATAATTGTTTACAAGATCAAATTCCTTTGTATAAACTTGATCTCTACGCCTTTCTTTTTCTTTTTGCTTCCTTCTCATGCAAGTGGTGTCTTATAAGTTGCAAGTTTGGTTTGAGTAATTTTCCACATCAAACTCTCAAGTAGTACAAAAGCTAGTGGATAATGATTCGTGCTTTGTCAGCAATGGCTGTTGTGGATTCTATGATTCAATAGAAGTTAGGTGATTGACAGCAGTCGGTGCTAATGGGGACTCATATATACAGATATTATTGACAAAGGAAAAAAGAAAGAAAGAATAGGAATCAATCAGAACTCAAGCACACAGTTGGACTGCATATTGAGTGTTTAAATTACCACTTGATCCATTTACTACTTGAATTTAATCTCGGTTAGAGTACTAGGTTTGGTTCAATTTTTTGTTTTGAAATTTTTAGTGCCTTACTGTTACTGTATATTACCGGATTACATTAGGTTTTTTAGGAAATATAATGCACTATTTAACATTTTATACTTGATATGGAAGTGTCTGCTAAGAGCTGAGAAATGTCTTATCCATAGCAAAAAGATGAACATTAGGAACATACATATATTTGCATTTCTGGACTGTAAAAATCTTTGGATCCCTAACTGCTTCGTTCTGGCGTCTGAGAAATGTGTTTTCCATAGCAAAAAGCTGAGAAATGTATTACTTTTGCTATTCAGTATCTGGTGCTAATATAGATTAGCTTGAAAGTCGCAAGAGTCTGTGGGGACAACAGGTTGTGTGGTAGGCCTGGGATTGCGGTGAGAGAATATATATCAGCTGGACAGCCTGGGATTGCGGTGAGAGAATCTAGTTGGGGGCTCATGGAAATTCATTTTTGTCAACTGAGTGGTGCTACGTGCAACCGATATATGAGCTGGCCCTTGGATATATATATATATATATATATATATATCAGGATCAATCCAAGGGCCAAAATTCATTCTTGCCTCGCTCGGTGCACTAATCAAGTGATCTATGTCAAATTTTTTTGATTTATACACGAAATCTCTCAAATAGGTTGATAGCCAATGCACTTTGTAATAAACTGAGTTTTAAGCAAAGGAAAGGGTTTTAATAGAGTGTTTTTATTGGTTGGTTGTACTAATGTTGTAAGTTGTAACTAATAATTTTAGCATGTCTTGTAACTCTTGGGTACTACTGCTCTAGAAGCATAACAAGGCTAGAAGTATCAAATGGAGCAGACCCGGTGCGGATTCACATGAATTCAAATTCCGATTCATATTTGAATTTTAAGATCCGGATCCATATCCGGATTCGAGCCTGTGTAACTCATGTTGGTACTCACAAATCTATTGAAATGAATTTTAAATCATATTAGATATTAAACCCATTGAAATGAACTTTAAATCATATTAGATCTCGGGTCAAACATACTACATTTCAAAGCCCTTGTCACACGGGTATTTAAGATGAAAGAAAAATAATATCTATAGTAAGATTACATTTTCAGCTATAATCCCTTTCTGTACGAAGTTTGATGTTCGTGGAGATCAGATAATCAATATGTATTTTTGAGTTCTGAAAGAATAAACTTCCACACAAGTTGTCAAGTAAGAATTCATCATATGTCTCTTACAAAATTTGCAATTTCCTGTACAAGCCGATCACATAAATGATTTCGGGACATAAAATTTGCAATTTTTGGTATACAATTCATTTTTCTCTCTGGTAATTATTGTTCTTGATAATTAATTCCATGTATCCTTAGCATTGTTTTCACCAATTACCGCAACACATTAAAAGAAAGAACAAAGTATGAAAGCACAGCTGAAGCATCAATGAGCCAATGGTGTATATCGGCATGTGGATATTTAATTACTTTTAACAGCAAAGACGGCATGAAAAAAAAAAAAAAAAAAAAAAATTCAGAATACTTAAACTTTTTTCTGGAATAAAAGAAAAAAAAAATAGACAGATAAAAAGAAGAGCATTTGTCTGTACATAGACGGCCTCAGGTGAGTAGTTTAATGTGAATTATGTTGTACAAGTGATCTTCTTCTTCTTCTTTCTTTTCTTCTTCTTCTTCTTCTTCTTTTTTTTTTTTTTTAATATAGAGAAAAAAAAAGGAGGAAAAAACCATTAATATACTCAAGTGACAAGTACAAGAAGCAGAGGCCAATTCGTTATTGACACACAAAACTTTGGAGGAAATGAAATAAATATTACCAAAATTAACAAATTTTGTTAGATGAGATCATGAGAGGGAACATACAATGCAAGGTAAGGGCATCACCACAGTTTCCACTCAATCTAGTTACAAAAAGAAGGAAATGTGGAAGAGTGTAGAGATGAAAGGACAAACGTAGCCTTATTTTTTGATGAACTGCAAGCCATTCTCGTTCGAGTATCGCTCCATGAATCTCATGAACCTGTCCCACTCCCGTGGAGTCCGCATTATATACTTTGCTTCAATCCCTGCAGGCTTTCCATTGACAAACCTGGCATTTACATCAACTGACTGAAGAACCCCTTCCTCATCAATCATGTAGAAGCCAGTGATATCACCAACTTCACCGGAAGAGTCAAAAACAGAGGGCTGATCAAATCTGAATATAGCCATACCATTAGTACCGTCTCTTGATTTGGTAAGCCTTACGTCTGGTACCGTCTGTTCGTCAGTTCCTTGAATAAACTGAATTTTTGGTTTAACCATCATTACCGTAAGTTTAGGCATTTGGAAATTTTGTCTTTGAGGGGTACAACGAGAGTGAGGTAGGTGCAGAGGTTGCCCACTGAACGTGGAGCGTGCACTTTGATGAACTGCTCCAGATGCAATGCCTGCACAACAAAAAACAAACAAGCTTTACTTGTCTTGAATCCAACATCATTTATAACTTATATTCCATCCCTGCGAATCTTTTATTTATGTTTCAAATTCTATATATTATCAAGTTTTTCCTTTACCAGATCAAAAGGAACTGAAGGGCCTTTGTAGCCAACTACAACAAATGGGAGAAGGAAGTGTGTGAAAGACTCAAAGTGCACCTGAATTCAATTGTGATGCATTCTTAACTGGTAAAAATTGCTTGGTATCTTATTCTGTGTAGAATTATATTGATTTAGTAAACGAGTTTGACATTGGGTGTTATTGTTAGTGCTTTCGGTCTATATAGCAAAAAATTTTCTTATGATGGTTTTGCCCGTGGAGGCAGAGAGCAACATTGCAAACTAAATAAATTGTTATATCATTACCACTCCATATCTTGTACAGCTCCAGGAACATATATTTCCATATAATAATTAAAGTCAGGAGAATTTGATTACGAGGAATGGTTCTAAAATAATCCTTGAAGTTTCCAGATACATTTTATGACATTGGTATTCCAAAAAAATGAAATTATGTACCTTTATTAGCAATATGATGTTACATAGCCTACAATGTCTGAAATATGCTGGACAAACACATTTTTTTTTTTAATCTCAAATTATGAAATGATTTCAACAACAGCAACAAGTTGTGAGAAACATAAAAGTCTCACAAAAGAATCACGTTACTCTAATGATAAAACGTATGTCAAAGCAGCACCTGTTTCTTTATGCAAATGAAAACAAATTATCCCCAAAAATGAGTAACTTTATTCCGTTTGAAGATACGTCACAAAGACATGATAGCCCTATGAAATAAGGGAGAGTTAGAAGAGTCCTTTAAAATAATGCAGGTATTTCCACTGCAACTTTTTGGGAAAATGCAACAATTCACACCATAATTAAATTATCATCTATAACCCTTCACTAGTGAAAGACTCATAAACAAACAATCTCAGATTCTGAATATACTTGTGTAAGACAACCAAGGTAAAAATATATATATACATATATAGGACCAGAGGGGGCAAGTGCCCCCTTGGATTTTTTCCTTCCCTTATTATATATATATATATATATATATATATATTCTTATAATATGTATATATTTTTTGAAAATGTGTAAAAATGTCCCCCCTGAAATTTCTCCTACCCTTGTAGACTATATATGTTTGATGTTTCCCTAAATGTTTTTTCTTAAATTGCTTCATGATATTCTATATATGTAATTTATTAATTTACCTCATCCCAAAAAAATCAATCTCTATATATATTCACCTAATTTATATGTATTTAGTATACAAATGGCTCCGTCCCTGTACATATATATACACACACGTGTAAGCATGGTTGTGTGTGTAATGCGTATGACAACTGATATTCATCAAACATAGGCCATACTTCTCTAGCTGATTCTACTCAAAATTACAAGAAAATGTAAACAACTCATAACATTTTCTCATACTAATATATTTTCCATGAAATTCCCCTTTGTAGTAAACAAATAATTTTCCCCATATATATATTCTCATCAAGAATGTAAATAAATAATTCTTCCAGAATTTTAAGAAAATTCAAAAGCCCATTTCACCCTAGCTACGCACTCTTTCATGTATATTAATTAAAGTCTATATTCCCATCATTAATTGTTGAATAATTGAATTGCGAAATTAGAAGAGTACCTGAAAGAAATCGAGTCTGGCGTGAACAGTGAGAGACTGGAGAGGAAAATGCGAGAGAGTGCAGAGTTGCCATTCAAGTGAGAGAGAGAGAGAAAGCAGGAGGAAAGTTTTAGAGAGAGAAAGAGATAAATGAGGAGTTGAAGTGGTGTGGACTGGACAGTGTGGGTGTGTAATAACGACAGCCATTCGCTTGCAGGTTTTCAGGGATTGGCGGATGAGAGTAATCTGGTACCATGAAACGTGGCAAAGACAATTTGGGCCGACCACTAAATGGGCCTAAAGGTTGCCTGTTCTAATTTCCGATCGATGTGACTGGGCCTGTGTTCGATAGCCTCTGACAGAGAAGCTATTAGATCTTAGAAGGGCTTAAATATATGGGCCAGGCTTAAAGATACGTTTCTTCTGAGAGAGAAGCTATTCATCCTAAACTTTCAAGCATTCGTTTTAATAAGGATCAAAGTTTCTTTTGATTTTTCCGTTAACTGCAAACTGTGTCCTTAAAATGCATCAAAACTTTTATTTTATTTTTTTAGTTGAAAGAGGTTATTTGCAATACAGCAATGGATCAGTGGAGTGATTTTTTTTTTTTTTTAATCCTTATTTTAATAAAGTTTTAAAAACTTGAACCTTCATACTTTTCAATCCGAATTCCATAAATTTTTTACATCAAGGTTAGGATGAATATGTGTAGTAGATCATTCTAGTTGACAGAGACCATATCCTCTGTCATTGTAATGGGCAAATCAAAATCAAAATCCACCCCTAATTCTCCATCGAATCGCATCATTTGCTACCACCAAACTCTGCCATGCCTAGCTTGGATCATATGGAACTCTTGCCTTCAAAGATGTAGAGAGCAAATGATGGTAAATTCACAGTATGTTCAGTGTGTGTGTGTGTATATATATATATATATATATATATACAGTATATCTTTAATTTTGAAGGATTGAGAGTCAAAGAAAGTTGAGGTAACAGAGAGTCTGGGCAGTGCAGTTATGGTGGGTATAAGTAGATAGAACTGGAGAGGAATGGTTGTTTGTGTAGCAATGGTGTTCAATGAAGGATTCTACAGGTTGCAATTCAATTGGCGCAAGATCAATTATATATTTATGCAAATGTTTTGAAGGGGATGCAAAGAGATCGAGTTTATGGATACCCAAAAACAGAAGTCCAGACCTGGGAAAGTTTGGTGGCTGGAAGAACATCTGTGGCTTATTGGTCCCACATCGTCTATGAATTAAAAGGGAGAGTGAGAAGCTGGTTATAAAACGAAAGGCTCAGCTCTAACCAAACTGTATCTTTCTGGGTATGTCTGTTAAGAGTAAGGGTAGAATTTATTTTTATCAGTTTAATATTTGATGTGTGGATTAATGGCCCATTAAATCTTTAGTGTGGACTGTGTTTTGCACTGCTGCAACCAAATCTAGTTCTAAATTTGTCATGATTTTACTTTAATATCTCAGTTTGCGAGGCTTGTTTCTAATACACCAAGTTGAAGGCAAGGTTTAAATGGTGGGCCCAGTCTAGTTATTTTTGTAAATTAGAGTATTCTAGCAACAGGGGAACGGGCAAAACAACTATACCTATAATTTAAAGTACTCGAAAGGGCAAAACAACTATACCTATGATTTCAGCAAGGCTAGAAATGAGGAGTCGGAGAGTCTAAACTAAACAATTCATAACAACCTATGAACATATTCATGAAATATTCATTTCATGAATATACGAGTCCAAACTAAACAATTCAAAACTTCTTATGCACATATTTCATGAAATGAAATGTTTATGAACAAGTTCAATGATTGTTTGAATGTATAAATAATTCTTCTGTGACTGGGCCTGTGTTCCACAGCCTCTGGGAGAAAAGCTATTAGAACTTAGAAGGGCTTAAATATATGGACCAAGCTTAAAGATACGGGCCTACTTCGGTTATCGTTGATTATTTGTTGGCGGAACAAATATTTATACTCTTCTCATAAATTCATGTATAAATTATAATGGGTCTAAGTGCAAATACCCTATCTACTATCTATATATGTTACTCACTGTGTATATATATATATATATATGCGCGCACACTAAGCTCTCAAGAAGGATTCGAAGCTCACCGGAAATGGGTTTGTAGGCTGGGTGTATCTGAAACTCTTCAAAGTGACCTTGGAACAGAGCTCGCCGGTTCAATGAAACTCCAATTTTGTCGCTGATGGTAGTCTGACATAGCGAATTCCTAATTGGATTAAAGTGACATATGTTTCTAAGATATCTAAAATATTTATGTTTTATACAATTAGTGAATTCAATGTATTGTGTTTCGATTCATTGTGGAATTGATAGTGTTCACTTGATGTAACGACCCACTCCACCACATGGTATGATATTGTCCGCTTTGGGCCTGAGCCCGCACGGTTTTGCTCTTGGGCTTCACCCCAAAAGGCCTCATACCAATTGGAGGTAACACACTTACATATAAGCACTTCACCTTTCCTCTACCCAGGCGATGTGGGACTGTGCACCTATAGCTCACCAGTGTGGTAGCCTGACAGTGTCTCTCGCACCCGCCCACGGCACACCCGCCCATAAGGTCATCACAATCCACCCCCCTTGGAGGCCCGACGTCCTCGTCGGCACACTTCCGGCTGGGTCAGGCTCTGATACCATTTGTAACGACCCACTCCACCACATGGTATGATATTGTCCGCTTTGGGCCTGAGCCCGCACGGTTTTGCTCTTGGGCTTCACCCCAAAAGGCCTCATACCAATTGGAGGTGACACACTTACATATAAGCACTTCACCTTTCCTCTACCCAGGCGATGTGGGACTGTGCACCTATAGCTCACCAGTGTGGTAGCCTGACAGTGTCTCTCGCACCCGCCCACGGCACACCCGCCCATAAGGTCATCACAATTGATTACAAGAGAAATTTATATATGTATGTGATGACGATCAATACATGAATATAAATAGTAATCATAAATATTCATAGTCGGTAATTATGGATGGACTCATTATTAACTAAGACTTGAATTGAATCCGCGTAAGGTTGAGAAATATTACGAGAGCTGTCGTACGCAATTGCTCCTTATCATTGTCATGGCATTTAACTCTTAAGCATGAGAGAAGTATAAACTCTTTTATTAAGTAGTAATTACTTTGATTTGTTCGGTGAAATCTTCGGAATTCATAGCCGGCACTTTGGGTAATTATATAATTAATAGTTAGAGGGTTATATTTTCAATATTTGCATCATTGTTACTTGTATTTATTTTGTATTGATTATGATTGATCACAAAGTAAATTCGAAGGTCTTCATGTGATTTTAGACAAAATAATTTATTATATATTTATTTATTTAAATTATTATTTTTATCAAACAAATGTTTTATTGTGATCAAGCCAGAAATAATCAAATGTACCAAAATAAATATATTAATTCAATAGTCGGATTGATGACTTTATTTATCCGATAACTAATTATGCATAGAGAGGTCAAAAATGCAACATTGACTTAGAGGTTATTTATTATTTAATTAGAGTTCAATTAATTTCTTTTAGTGGAGTATAAATTAATTTATGAATTAATTGAATTGGGTTCATGGTATAATGGATCGGGCCAATTATTAATTCATTGTAGTCAAGAAAATAATAAGCCTAAAGGATTCTCACTCATAACCCAACTTGATATTGGAGGCCCATTAGATTTGAGTTATCAAGTGATTTTTAGAGATTGAGAAAAATATATATATATAATGTCTTTAATTATTATTTTTATTTTGCCTATATATACATGGGGTCTATATATATTTTAGGTTACGCCTTGTGCAATAAATTTTAAAAGACAAGAAAAGTTTTTTTCTCTCTAAAATTTTAGGGTTAGTGTTCTCATCTAATGGAGACTCCCACAAGTTTAGTTCTCCAAGGTCATTCATGGAGGCTTATGGGTGATTCCTAAAAGCAAAATCATCACCAACAAGATGAAGATCCAATGAGGAAGCATCTAGTAAATGGATCTACAATAAATGAGAACATTCAATTTAGAGGAGAGATTTAAGATTTACTCAAACCTTGATGTAAGTTTTCTATTCCTAAATTGAATGAATCACCATATTCTTCATGTATAAAACTTGTCTCTACACATGAATCAAAATCTTTATTTAAAAATCCCTCATCAAATTTTAAAAACTTCCGTTTCCCTAACAAGTGCATGCCAGACCATGACACCACTATTACTTTGGGTTGCAGTTTGTTGTTGCTTAGAGCTTCACCCGATTGAGACTTCTTGGTTTGGGTCTCGATTTGCTCTGTATAGTGTCAGAACTAGCTATAGCGGGTTGGCCATCTTTACTACTCGCCGGATTGGACTAGAACTCACCGGAGTTGGAACTGACATACTGGGTCTGTTTTCGCCGAACAGAAATTCCACGATTGGTTGTCAATGTTTGGTCTCTATATCCCAATAGTTTGGTTGCTGCCATTTTGGTCGTTGATGCTCACCGAAGGTCTGACTAAAGCTTGTCATTGAGTTACTCAGCCTTTGCCAGATATGGTAGTTGGTTGTCTTCACTATAGCCGAAGCATCTGGGTCACCTCAGTATTTATGTTTTTTGAGCTTCTAGGTACCAAAATGAGGTAGGTCCATTAATGGAGTTTGTTTTGCCCAACTCTTTATGTCTATACGTTTTGCCCAACTCTCATCACAATTTAATTGGTTCATCAATGAAGAATCTTAGTATGGTCTTCAATGGAAGACTATGATGAATGACGACGAGGAGACTGTCGGTTTTGTCACTGTGGCTTTCCGGTTTAAATGATGTCTATGGTTTGGAGTCATGTACATATATAATAAGGAATGGATTAAAAAATATCTAGTGGATGTGGGTGGTGGTGGAGGTGGCGGCAGTGGGGGCGACTGATTAAGGGTAGGTGATATTTTTTAGTATTATTTTTAGTTAGGGTAAATTAAATGAAAACCCTAATTCTATCACTTTTTTTTTTATCAAATACTCTAACCTACTTTAGAAAATCATTAACACTATGAAATTTGATCACATTGCACCAATTCTATGATAAAAAGACAAAACTACCCTTCTAAAATATCAATTTATTTAAAAAGCAAAAATCAATATTTTACAAATTACATAAATAACCTTAGTGAAATTTGCCCATATATATATATATATTCAAACTAACACATTTTATATTTTTTTTTTCTTTTTTTCATCTCCATTACATCCGGCTATGACAGCGCCGCCACCGGCGACCGCCGCGACACCACCGTCCCCATCTTCGTAACTGCACCACTATTCCCAACCCACACCACCTTAAGGTTCATAATTTGGTCACCAGAAGACAAAAGCACAAGCTGGAAAAGTGTTTGATTAGTCCAGATTCAAACTCTGAGGTAACTGCAAATACAAATTCCTGTTACGGACCACACAAGAGTTTTGGCATGGTGTGAATCATTTTAGATTAGCAGGCCCCTTTTTTCTCAACTTCTTAGGTTATCCCTAAAATGGCCTTTAATTTTTATTTCACTGCCTTTAAATTTTATGGATTCGTCGCAACAAACAAGCAAATACATCTCAAGAATTGATTTATTTAGGACCAAATCAGATGATCATTTGTCCCATTAAAAATGCAATCTTGAAAATTCAATTGTGTAAATCCAAATAAAAAAATGTTTCAAAAACTCATGATTTATTCTTGGCAGCACAAGCTTTAGGGTTGTCATTCCTGACCCCATACCTGCAATCAATTGGATCTGATTATAAACATGGAATCACAAAATTTTAAAGCGTCATTTGGTCTTAAAACTTACCCAACCAAGCTTCTTAAAACCTAGCTCTTCCCCATTTGGTCTTTAATTGAACGCTTGTATCACAAAATTTCAAAGCCGTCATCGTTGTTGCCGTACCCGGAGCAAGAAGTAGAATAGATTTTCAGGCGCAAAGACCAATCACAGTTCATGACTTGGACAAAATTCTCAATTTTAGATAAGCAATTCTCAATTAATCGTCGATCGGCGTCAGAATTAATTGTTCGTTTGGCTCCTTCGAAGCGGTCTTTAACATCCTCGGAGAGAAAAGAGGTTTCGCTGTTAGGCCGAAAATGGAAACGAGGTCGTTTGGGAGTAGGCCGGAGAGGGCGTTGAAGCGGAGGCTGAGTGTGTGAAGGTGGGTCAGATTTTTGATTATGTGTGGTGGGATTTGGCCGGAAAGCCCCATGCCAAGGAGGCAGATCTCGATGATGATGCCGGACTGGCATGTCACAACCTTCGTCAGCTGGAGCTCCGATTCCGTGCGCTCTTACTAATTTGGTTTGTAATTAACTGTGGTTTTCTGGTTGAAGGTGAGATGGAATAGAAGGGCGAAGGTGAGATGGAAGAGAATGGAGGTGAATAATATATATACATATTATATACACACAAAATGATCGCGTTTTGTGCTTTGGTGACTTAAATGTCACCAAGGATATTTTGTAATTGACAAAATACATATTTTGACTTTTTTAATTGATTTAGTATATTAGGATGGTACTTTCGTCATTTAATCACAGATATGGTGCAATGTGATCAAATTTCATAGTGTTGGGGTTTTTTAAAGTAGATTGGGGGTATTTGATAAAAAAAAAGTGATAGTATTGAGGGTTTCGTGAAATTTGCCCTTTTAGTTATAATATGAGAAGGAAAAAATGGGAAAGAAAAAGGGCAAAATTGGGTTTTTAATTTACTTTTTCAAAATTGGGGGTATTTTGTACCTTTCCTTAAAAAATAGGGATAGTTTTGTACCTTTTTAAAAAGGAGGGGGATATTGTGCACAAAACTTAATAGTGCGGAGATTTTTTATGCATTTAACCCAAATTAAAATCAATATGTTTGGGGTGTATTCGGCAGCATGAAATTTGAGTCTTGGAATTACAATAGGTGAAATTTAAGAAAATTGTGGTTTAATTTTTTTAATTATTATTATTTTTTTTTCAAATTCTACAAATTTCAATTTCAAAACTCCAATTCAATGGAACCGAACACACTCTTAAGACTAATTTGATAACAGATGTTGACAAATTGGTGCTACAATTCCAAATAATCTAGTAATTAATCCTACCTACAAGTTCCAAATAATAATTAATCCAACCTACAAGAAATCTTCATCTTTGAAAACTTTCAGATATTCGATTTAGTAAGGATAAAAGTTTCCGTTAACTGCAAGCTACGTCCTTAAATGCATCAAAGTAGGTAGAGTTGTAATGTAACTAATGAAAGATACAAGAATTGAAATTGCATAATTTAGAGCTGCATTAGAGAAAGCTAAGCCTAGTTGGAACCACAAATTTCCATAAACCAAAATAGTCAAATTTTAGGCTCCGTTTATTTTGACGTAAAATATTTTTTTATTTTCTGGTATTTGGTTGTCGTAAAATATTTACGAAGAAAAAAAAATTAAAATTTAACAAAAATAATTTATCCATAAATTTTGGACAAGTTATTTTACATGCCTCGCCCGATGGACTCGATCTTGACCTCGAACCGACTTCAACCTTTGCCAAACACCGACAAAGTAAAAAATATATATATATTTTACATCGAAACAAACAAAGTTTAAATAAAAAATATATAAACATGTGGTGATAACCAGCTTTTAAATAAGTTCCATAACATAAAAGACAAGGATTAATAACATTTTGTTTAATTTGACATAATTGAACTTCCCCAATAAAAAATATGAACAAATTAGGATTATCAAGAAATCACTAATAAAAATAAATAAAAAACGATGAAAACATCGAAGTAGAATAGTTACCGCGTAGTATTATTCATAAAGGTGTGGCAGGACTCGATTTGGATTCCACTAGACAAGATATAACTATTCTGTTCAGTAGGAAGGAAGAAAGAGGGGTGGAAAGAAAACAGGAGGGAATGAACAAAATTCCTTCGTTCGGTAGGAAGAAGACACGGAGGGAAAGGAAAATAGGAGGGATATCTTATCCCTCCCTCTTAACAAGTTTTCATCCGCCCAAATTTGGGCGGAAAACGGGAGAGAAAACAAGTGGAGTTATTATAATACTATTAAATTACAATATTATCCTTTTCAAATATTAAAAATTAAACCCTACACATCTCATCTCACGCAAAAAAAATAAAAAATAAAAAAAATAAAAAATAAAAAAAAACTATCAAGGTATGATTCATGTGTTTTATATATAGATATATATATCCTTATTTGGTCGAGATCTGGATCTTATATATATATATGTAAGATAAAAGGAGAAGGTTCAAGGCAAGATAAAGGAGAAAGTATATATATATGTATATATATATATATAAGTTGTTTGTTATATAATTTCCTTATTAGTAAAAAGCGAGGATGATGATGGCTATTTACTGGAAAAAAATAATAATGAAGGTATAATGATAAAAATAATTTTAAATTCTCCTTTCCCTTCTCTCGCAACGAACAAAGGAATTTGGTAAGTTCTTCTCTTCTCTTCCATCCAACCGACTAAAACGAGGGAAGTCCATAATCTCTTCCCTAAGAATGTTTCATCCTTCCCTTCTTCTCTCCCTTCCATCCAATTTATTTCCTTCATAACGAAAGGAGCCTACCAACAAGAGAGAGAGTTTGGGCAGTGCAGTTATGGTGGACTTTTATAAGTAGAGAGAACTGGAGAGGAATGGCTGTTTGTGTTGGAAAGGTGTTCAAATTTCACAAATAATTGTGTTTTTCTCAAATTTCACAAATTTTAGTTCTATGACTTCAATTTCATGAACCAAACACACCCTTGAGGCTAATTTGATGACCCGTTCTTGACAGGTTGGTGCTACAATTCCTAAAAAGCTGGTAATTAATCCTATCTACAAGAAATCTTGATCTTTGAAAACTTTCAAACATTCGTTTTAATAAGGATAAAAGTTTCTTTTGATTTTTCCGTTAACTGCAAACTGTGTCCTTAAAATGCATCAGAACTTTTATTTTTTTAGTTGAAAGAGGTTATTTGCAATACAGCAATAGATCAGTGGAGAGTGTTTTTTTTTTTTTTTAATAAAGTTTTGCACCTTCATAATTTTCAATCCAAATTCCATAAAATTTTGACATCAAGGTTAAGATGAATATGCGTAGTAGATCATACTAGTTGACAGAGACCATATCCTGTGTCATTGTAACGGGCAAAATCAAAATCCACCTGTATTTCTCCATCGAATCGCATCAATGCTTAGCTGGATCATATGGAACTCTTGCCTTCAAAGATGTAAGAGAGCAAATGATGGTAAATTCACAATATGTTCAGTGTATATATATCTATATATATATCATCTTAATTTTGAAGGATTGAGAGTCAAAGAAAGTTGAGTTTGGGCAAGTACAGTTACGGTGGGTAAACTGGAGAGGAATGGTTGTTTATGTAGGAAAGGTGTTTAATGAAGGATTCTGCAGGCTGCAATTCAATTGGCGCAGGATCATTTATATATTTATGCAAAGAGATCGAGACCTGGGAAAGTTTGTTTGCTGAAGAACGTGTGGCTCAGTTGTCCCACATCGCTTATGAATAAAAAGGGAGAGTGAGAAGGTGACTATAAAACGGAAGGCTAAGATCAAGCATATTATTTGTTCTTATTAGTTTAATATTAAACTTGATACGTGGACTAATGGCTCACATGATATTAAATTAATTTTTTAAGGGGCAGGGCTCAGTACAGTAGCTTGCTGCTGGGGCTCTCGCGTGTCGCCTAGGTTCTGCACTACTGCCTTGGCCTGGCGCACCCCTCCCAAATCAAGTTCTAAAGTTTCTCCAAGTTGCTATTGAAATTAAGTTTTGGAGCCCAGCTTCCCGACTAACTGAATCGTGCGCATTGCTAAATGGGCCTCCATTGGGACTAGAAAATGAGGAAAATATAAACCAACGCTTGAAAAAGTAATGAAGGAAAAGAACAAAAATAGATATTGAGCTCGAAGTTTCTAAACAAGAAGGGTAGTGTGAACTCGCTCGAACAATTCATAGCTTCCTATGCACATATTCATGAAATGTTTATGAACTAGTTCAATGATGGTTTGAATGTATCATTTTCTTAACAATATTGATCTCAAACTCGAATTTGAGTTAAGTTCAAGCCGGAACACTGCTCAAAACTGTAACTATCTAAAACTCAAGTCGACTGGGGCGCGCCTAGTTATGAGTTCTTTTAGCATATTATGTGGGTCCAAAGTAAATTGGACCAAACTCAAATCATGTGGCACATGTGCAATCACCAAGACCATGATGACTCCACCGTCTATTTTTACAATTATGCAAAGCTGGGTGTCTCTCTCTCTAAAGAACTTGTACATTCATAATAATATCACTCTCTCTCTATCTAATAATAGGAGAGAGGTACTTCGGAAGAAGGAAGCTGCGATTTCACATGGTGTCCATCCACTTTAGTTGCACATAGTGACATAGCACCCTAATTTTCAATTGGAACCAATCCACATGTTTGCATGTGAAATTCAGCAGTTATTCTGTTAAAGAAATGCACATTTTAAATTAAAATAATAATAATTATAAGAAAATGGCGGTTGGTGAGCTCACACCATGATTGGTAATGCCCATCACTCCCCCCATTTTTGCCTCCTTCCCATTTGTCATTAATTTATTCTATTATTAGTTTCTCTTTGTGCACAATATTACCTTCATCTACACTATTTTAGACTATTTAGTATAATTATTTGAAAACCAGTGTCGCTTTAATGTCTCAATTTAATTTCAAATGCATTTTGTGTTTGGAATATGGGAAAAAAAACCTTTTCAAATAGATTTGAAAATGAGTTTCAGAATGTTTTAGGAACAAATTTCAAAAGTAATACATCCAACCCTCCTGGTGAAAAGATTACACATGACTTTTCCCACCAAATTTTTATGCATTGAATTTGTTCTTTTTACTGAGCGATAATTTTCAAAAATAGCACTCAACTAATCCTCTTGTTGGAATGAGACCATCCATTTGAAATTAATTTCTGCATCAATTGTATTTTCATGTTAAAACTTACTAATGGTATGAGAATGCTAGTCTACTATAAATATCACGAGCTTGATGATGAAAATAATATTACTGGATGCAAGGGATGGCCTGCATTCATAATCATTACCTCATCACTCATCAGGTAGAAGCCTGAAAGACACTCGAGATTCCATTCACCAATAAATATGTATATATATATTTCTATCATGTATGTATCATTACATACATGATAGACCTTCATTAGTTTATCCAAGCATTTGATAATTATTACCCACTTATAATTAAGTTGACTATATATCAATAACACAATAACAAGAATCAGGAACAATGTATGTATGTATCAGCAATAAGAACACATTCTCTCCATGTTTGATGTTGGAATCATTTTCAATAAGTACAAAGTTCCAGTCATTACTTGCATATTAACAGCTGTTGCAGAACCCAAGACCACACGAACTCAAAAATCTAATCCAAATGTTATATAATACTCAAATATTTTTCAAACACAAACTAATCAACCAATCTTCTCGCCCTTACTTCTCATATAACCCACACTTTCTCTCTCCCAATATCACACAAGCAAAAATGATGGAAATCTAAGAGATAAACCATCCAGACAGCAATTATGAAGAACAACAATATGAAGTTTCAAACCCTGTTGTTGTTGTTTTTGTTCTACTGTTACATTGGTTATGCTAAGGTAACTGAGAAAGCTGTCTTGACTGATCAAGTATCGGTTCTACTATCGATAAAAGTAGGGCTCATCGACCCCTTTAATCAGCTTCAAGATTGGGAACTGCCAAAGAATGGGTTGGGGAACAATTCAATTCCCTGTAATTGGAAAGGGGTGTGGTGCAACTCCAATGGTGCTGTCTGGAAGCTCGATCTCTCCCACATGAATCTCAATGGCACCATATCGGATGACATCCAACAGTTGCAGAGTCTCACTTCTCTCAACTTATGCTGCAATGGGTTCTCGTCATCATTGCCACAATCTATAACCAATCTTGCTGCACTGAAGAGCCTTGATGTGAGCCAAAATTCCTTTGTCAATAGCTTTCCAATGGGTCTCGGAAGGGCAACTGGGCTAACGACATTAAATGCTTCGAGCAACAACTTCTCAGGTTATCTCCCTGAGGATCTTGGAAATGCAACTTTGCTTGAAAGCCTAGATGTCAGAGGGAACTTCTTCCAAGGTTCAATTCCGAAATTCTTCAAGAACTTGGGGAAGTTGAAGTATCTTGGCCTTGCTGGGAATAATTTCACAGGCCGAATACCCCCAGAGCTTGGTCAACTTTCATCACTTGAGACTATAATTCTCGGGTACAATGAATTCGAAGGTGGAATCCCAGCTGAACTTGGAAATCTCACCAATCTCAAGTATCTTGACTTGGCCGTCGGCAGTCTTGGCGGCTCAATTCCTGCTGAATTGGGGAGACTAAGACAACTAAATACTGTTTTCTTGTATAAGAACAATTTTGAAGGCAAGATACCAGCTGCGATCAGTAATATTACCTCGTTACAGTGGTTGGATCTTTCTGATAATTTGTTATCAGGAGAGATTCCACCTGAGATAGCTCAGTTGAAGAACTTGCAGCTCTTGAATCTGATGTGCAACAAGTTGTCAGGTCCAGTTCCTTCTGGACTAGGAGGGTTGACTCAACTGGAAGTGCTTGAGCTATGGAACAATTCCTTGTCAGGTCCTCTGCCGAGTGATCTTGGCCATAATTCACCATTGCGGTGGTTGGATATATCGTCAAATTCGTTCTCTGGTGAAATTCCTGCCAGCTTGTGCAATTCAGGTAACCTCACAAAGCTCATCCTTTTCAACAATGCTTTATCTGGTCCAATTCCTACGGGGTTGTCAAAATGTACGTCCCTAGTTCGTGTTCGTATACAGAATAATATTCTTTCCGGGACAATCCCAGTAGGGTTTGGCAAACTTGGGAAGCTTCAGAGGCTGGAACTAGCGAATAATAGCCTCACTGGCCAAATCCCAGATGACATTGCTTCTTCTACATCACTCTTATTCATTGATTTCTCTCGGAATCACCTCCAATCCTCTCTACCTTCCTCCATTCTGTCCATTCCAAATCTACAAAACTTCATGGCCTCAAATAATGAATTAGAAGGTGAAATCCCAGATCAGTTCCAGGACTATCCATCACTTTCAGTGCTGGATCTCTCATCAAATCATTTCACTGGAAGCATTCCGGAAAGTATTGCTTCCAGCGAAAAATTGGTAAATTTGAATCTTCGAAACAATCAGTTAACTGGGCTAATCCCAAGCACAATAGCAACGATGCCCACGTTATCTGTTCTCGATCTATCAAACAATTCTCTTACTGGTGGGATCCCTGAAAATTTTGGTAACTCTCCAGCCTTAGAAATGCTAAATGTCTCTCACAACAAGCTAGAGGGGCCTGTGCCTGATAATGGTGTACTTAGAACAATAAATCTAGATGATCTTGCTGGTAATGTCGGTCTCTGTGGTAGCGTGCTCCCTCCATGCTCTCAAAATTCAGCATACACATCAAGGCAGAAGAGCTTGCATGCAAAACACATTATTGCTGGTTGGGTCATTGGAATTTCATCACTTTTGGCTATTGTGATGGCAGTTTTTGGTGCTCAGTCTCTATACAAAAGGTGGTATTTAAATGGAACTTGTTTCGAACAAAGATTCAAATTGGGCAAAGGAGAGTGGCCTTGGAGATTAATGGCATTCCAGAGGCTTGGATTCACGAGTAATGACATTCTAGCCTGCATCAAAGAATCGAATGTGATCGGAATGGGAGCAACAGGGATCGTTTACAAGGCAGAGATGCAACGATTGAATACAATTGTGGCAGTTAAGAAGTTGTGGAGTTCAACGAATGATATTGAAATGGGAAGCAGTGATGATCTCGTGGGGGAGGTGAATCTCTTGGGGAGGTTAAGGCATCGAAATATAGTAAGGTTATTAGGATTTCTACATAATGATATCGATGCAATGATACTTTATGAGTATATGCAGAATGGAAGCCTAGGAGAAACTTTACATGGCAAACAAGCAGAGAGGTTGCTGGTAGACTGGGTCTCGCGATACAACATAGCAGTTGGAGTTGCGCAAGGGCTCGCTTACCTCCACCATGACTGTCATCCTCCAATCATCCACCGGGATGTCAAGTCAAACAACATACTGCTTGATGCGAACCTTGAGGCCAGGATTGCTGATTTTGGGTTGGCAAGGATGATGCTTAAGAGGGATGAGACAGTCTCAATGGTTGCTGGATCCTACGGATACATCGCTCCTGGTGAGTTAACTGTAGCTTTGAACTGTCTTAGTTTTGATCAATGCTCTGTTCTAAATGTAGAAAAGACTACTTCATCAACTTAACTAATTAGCTACCTTAGGCCGTTAAAAACCTGAAAAGTATCTAATACTTAAGAAAGCTGTAAATAGTCTGCAGCAGAAGCATAATAGTGAAAGAAATCTATTTCATGATTCATCTGCGACTAACAATCACGTATTTAAATGATTTCTTGGCAGAGTACGGATATATGCTGAAGGTTGATGAAAAAAGTGATATCTACAGCTATGGAGTTGTTCTGATGGAGCTTTTATCAGGAAAACGGCCATTAGATCCTGAGTTTGGAGAGTCAATTGACATTGTCGAATGGATTAGAAAAAAGATTAGAGATAACAGGTCTTTAGAAGAAGCACTAGACCCCACTATAGGAAATTGCAGATATGTCCAAGAAGAAATGCTCTTAGTCTTGCGGATAGCAATTCTCTGTACGGCCAAACTCCCCAAGGACAGACCCCACATGAGGGATGTTATAACAATGCTTGGAGAAGCAAAGCCTCGGAGGAAAAGCAGCAGCAGCAGTGGCGGAGATGTTGCTAACAAAGATAAGCCAATCTTTAGCACATCGCCTGTAAATGTTCTTCTGTAACAACAGAATCAAGTTCATCCAAGGCATCCTGTTTAATTCTTCCTTTGTATGTAAAAGTTTCTTTGTTGAATTTGTAATCACTTGTTCGACTTGGACCTATCTAGCCGTTTACCTGTAACCTTTCACTATTTTTTGTCATAAGCAACTAAGATTACACAATCTTGTTGTACCCAATATTAGAATAACAAATTTGTTATTTCTGCTAGCAAGTATAAATGCTCAGAAGCCATATACTCTCTTATTTTCTAACCTACACTTTGTCCGATATCTCATGGTTGCAGTGCTTTCTAATGACTGATAATATTGAATCTACATTCCAATCAGATCCTTGAATGGCATTTCTATGAGATCCAAGCTCCTTTCAGTTCCTTCTTGGAATTCTTCTTGAACTTTCTCACAGAATTGTTCAAACTCAGAAAAGACTTTATCGATCCGATCCAACTTTAAATTTTCAAGTTCACATCAAACTATTTTCCTTATTCAATTACAAAAAATTATTTCTTTACGAAGCCAGAACTTCTAAATCTCACTTACAGGGGGAAAAAAATAACTTCCAAATCTCATATTCATCCTTGCATGGACCAAAGCACTCACAACATCCTTCCGCAATTCAGTTCTAAGATAGACATTGTTCAACAATCTTTTAATGTCACCTCCAGGGTCGAAGAAGAGATTGTATTATGATTTTACAACAATGACAATGATCTGTTAGAAGCAGTATTATTTAAAGGTCATATTAGCACTATATTCATTAATAAGTTTAGTATTAGCGGATTAGAACTTTAAAATGTTAGGCTAAAGGTTATCACAGGATTTTTTTAAGGCCAACCATAAAAGATTTCATTCTATTGGTAAGAGTTAGTTTCTATATTAAAAGATAATTCTATTTGTATGGAACTTTAAAATATAAATTTTATCATTTACCCTGAACTCAAAGCTAGTTTTGCATCTAGTGGAAGATAAATAAACATTTCCCCCCACAACAGACTAGAGAATATCGAAAACCAGAGGAAGGAAATCATCGCAGATCAAGTTATATCATCAATCTTTGCACTCAAAGCTAGCTTTGCATCTAGTGGTAGACAGATAAACATTTCCTCCCACAACAGGCTAGAGAATAAGTAAAACCAGAGGACGCAGATCAAGCTATATCATCAATCTTTGCAACACCATGGACGTTTACTAGGTTCACAAACACACAAGTATTCTCCCTCATCAAATTCAAATATAATCAGATTATTTCAGCTTCATCACTTTTTCATGATGTCAAAGTTCAATAGGAACTAATTTCACAACTCCAGAAGCATGGTAAATCTGATTGAATGACCGTCCCAATCTATTGATGTTATATAAAGGGCCCACACTGTCAGCTTTCCTTGGTTTCCAACACACCAAACTCGTACCAACTCCAAACTTCCAACAACGTTGTTAAAGATGGTTGTTGACTCAAAATACAGTGTTAGCCTAAAAGTTCCTGCAACTCTGCCTTTTATGCTCTTCACATTTTAAACGAAAATCTTTTTGTAATTTCAGATTACAAAATCAGCAGCCGCAATTAACTCAATACGATAGTCAATTGAAAAAAAAAAAAGAACCACGAACTTCCATCAAGATATAGGTACCAGATATTCTCAAGACAACAATTGAAACAAAAAAAAAAAAAAAAAAGAAAAAAAAAAAAGAAAAAGGAATAGCATCATAATGGACACTTCAAATACAAAAACCATGTAAACTCTCTTTCCATTAACAAGGATTGAACAAATCCATTTTAAGGTGTAGCAAAACTCAAAAATCATATCAATTAAGCACTCCCTTTACAGTATCAAAGAACAACTTCCAGTGTAAGTATGCATGTGTATATAACACAAAAATAAAGACGCTACTAACTTCACAAAAAGGCTCGCCTCAAAAACAGATAATTAACGTATGAAAAAAACATAAAAGCAAATAGTGTGGTGACCAAAAACAACAGATGAACCAGAGGATCGGCCACTAGTATAACAAAATGCTTTCACCATTCAGTAGGCGTCTTTTCCTTTCCATGTTTCACTCTTCAAGAGACGATCTGTTTTCATCTTACTGAAAATAAGCAGGAAAAATCTATATGGGCTTACTTTCTTTGTCTCGCGTTCCTTTCTTGAAATCCTGGAGCCGCAAAGCAAGAGACAAAAAAAATGTATTGAGTATGAAAATATATACAGCGCATATGCAGTATCACACCAAATTACATAGTTAATTACACATCTACATACCAAGTCCATTAGCTTCAGCTGTCCTCATGATTCTAAGCCTCTTCACAGAGCTAATAAACATCCTGAATACAAAGTACAACAAAAATGCGACTGTCAAAACAAACAAACAAAAACAACTTGATTAAAGCATTCAGCAGCAGAGAACATAATCTTCTAAAAGAACATTAAAAGGTCAACTGGTCGAGGGAGAGCAAAAATTTTCAAAATAAATAAATAAATACTATATTCTTTACTTGTCCCATATTTGATGAATTTATTACAGTTCAACCTTTATTCTTTTCCATCGTGGTGAAGTTTTAATCCCATTATATGCAGGAATGAGAACCCCAAAATCCATCCATAAAACGTAGACAACATGAAAAATTTGCCTTAATCTGCAGCTAGAGACTCGCACTAAATAGATGGATATTTCAAGGGGAATACTCATAGCGATTTCATGGTCAAAAGGAGAAGTTCACACTCCTTAGTACGAGGTGTGTGCGCTAAATACCTTTTCACTGAAACATTTAGCTGAGTTCATGAAAAGCACAGAGAAGTTCCCCCACTATTAAAGAAAAAACAGAAATATCCCAAGAGTTTGTGAGTTAATTTTTCTTTTGAAATGAATATAACTAATTTGTATGATTTACCAAAGCAGTGATGGCCATTGGTGCTATCAAGTACGGTATTTCTAACAAATTTCAGTACAAGATTTCCCATTCAAAATAAAATGACCAGAAGCATTTCAGAAGAAATGAAGTAAACTGAAAACTAAATTTCAATTATTATATGTTCAAAAGAAACAATGGTATATGTCTATAAGTTGTACTGAGTGAAAGATATATACCCCCAAGGAACATCTCCAAGAAGCATCCAATCTCCCTCTTTGTCTTCATAGGTGAGCACAAATTTGGATGAACTGTATAAAAGTTTTGAGGATCCTGTGGCTTCATTCATTACACCTTGCTCCTCTATGCCTAAAATCACACATATGAAGTCAGTAGCATTCACCAAACAAACAAGCAATGTCTGCTTCACAACTAGTCAAATAGATTAAACTAACATGTTGTTTAAAATAGGGATTTGAATGTCAATGGAACATCAAAAACTATGATAATTTGTTTCAAAAATTCAATTCATATGGCAAATTTTATAGAATTATAAATATGAACAATTTTAACAAATAATATATAAAATCATCTACCTATTGAATTTTTGAACTTAAACCTTTGTCCTATGAAGCAAGCAAGAAAATAGGATACATATCATATCTGGGGGTTTAATGATTTAATCTTCAAACCACCCAATTTCAGAATTAGTAAAGTTTGTAGCATGGGAAGCATAAATAGATCAGAGTCACATTGGAAACCAGCAAATCAGAATTTATAGAACAGCTTATGCAGATTAGTCAGTATGTTGAAGCTTTTGAGCCACAAAATGAATGTTGAACAGATCATTAATGTTTTGTTTTAAGAAACGAAATGTATTAGAAAGAAGGAAAACCAACATCTGAATTTAAAATCTAAACATAAAAGAGAAGAACAACGCACATCTTGCATTGATGGATGTCGTGGGTTTACCGAACATGTCTTCCAGTGTCCGCACTAAGGTCTCATAACATCTATGAGCATTTAGATCCACCTTTCTTCCAATTAAAATTCCATCCATATTTACCTTTACGAACAGGGAAGTCTTGCGGTGCCCATTCTCCTTAGCATTAATGTCACCATTGCTGCCACTACTAGTCTTTTCTGCCGTACAATTATTTCTTTTACTTCTCCCAACTATCAAGTCAAATTCTTCAGTGGCTGGTGATTTTGCTCGGCTAACGAAGTTGTTCATCCGATCTCTTTTTAAAGGAGGCCAACCCACAACATGACTGCTTCAGGTTTCAAGTTACAAAGAAAAAGAATCAATCTCATTGGATAAGCAAATGGCAACTACATGTAAAAAGCCCAAAGCCAGTCACCTCAGTAAAATAATGTTCGTGGCAAACAGGAAAAAACAACATCAGCAAAATACCAGTACAAGAAAATCTAAAAGGAACGAGACTTTTCAAATGAAAGAATTATAACACATGTAGCACACTAAGTCACCACAAAGAGAATGCATATGATTATTTGGTTACGAAACCAAGAAACAACAAAGATATCCAATGGCCAAAAAAAAACCTAGACCCTGGAAGAAGCCAAATTGCCAATACTATCCATAGTTTAGCAATCACCAAAAAGAAAGGAAAAAATAAATAAAAAGAACCAAATATTTACTTTACCGAATACCGACAATGATGACCAAGATGATTAATTCATTGTAATACATGAAGTTTTTGGCAAATACTTAATAGGACCTTGTATCAATTCTATTTTGACGTAGCTGATTCTCTCTTAGGGTTGCCCCATTAGTATTATTGTAAATCTTGGTCATTTGGATTGTTCAATTGATATGAATACTAATTTACCAACTCATATAAGATAATAGCTAGCCAAGCCGAGATGATTTGTGTGTATAGAAAGCACATTTTATTTCCAATATCAGATTCCTTAAAATTCAATAAAACTAGTGAATAATCAACAAGGAAGAAAAGATAATTAACCCAATTCAAATCAAAGGAAAGAAAACACAGAGTTGGGAAAAAACTTAGAAAGAGCCAAACAAAGGAAATAGAATGCTGGCCACAATCTTTAAATTAGAGTCACCGTAACGGCATCATCAATCATATCAGGAACATGAACACATATAAATAAAAGGCAGAAGGAATAATTAATGATAATAATAATAATAATAATAATTAATAAAAAGTCACAAACATAATACCAAAATAAAACATATGAAATAAAAAAATAAAAAATAAATAAAAAGGAAAAAGACAGAAAGAAAGAAAGAAGGTATATACTTGTGAGGAGGTGTCTTGGTAGCAGCAGAGACAACATCTTTGGTGACAGAGGAAGAAGAAGAAGAAGAAGAAGAGTTGGTGGTAAGCAAAGAATTAGGGAAATGTTGAGGGGCCAAGATCACAGCACGTTGATTCCATGGAGTTAGGGTTTGGGTTTGGGTTGGTAGGGACTTGAAAAGAGGACCACCAAGGCTCAACCCAAGACTCAACTCGAGCTCAGACTCGGACTCATGAGAGGGGTATGAAGAAACCTCGGTGGATGACAAGACCAGATTGAGATTGTCCTCCTCCTTTGACACTATCGTTGACATGTTTGACCCTCCTGTTTTTGAACTTGAACCACCACCACCTCCACAACAAGAAGACTCTACTGCTACTGCTATGTGATCTGTACCACCATAACCACCACCGCCGCCGCCTAAAAACCCCAAACAACTACCTTCTTTCATAATAACAGAGAATGAAGAAGAACAGAGATTTAAATATTTGTTTTTAAGGTTGTTCTTTGGTTGGTAGGGGAAATTAATATATTATTATGTTTTGGGACCCACCTGTCTGCTTTGTGCGCTGCATCGCTCCATCGATTTCTCCTTCCTTTGACTCTTTTCATTTGACCTTTCCATTTTCTCGCATTATAGTATTTCGGTTTTTGTAATGGTCTCCGAAGTCCGAACACCAAATACTTTGGACTTGGTACTCCTATTTTGATTTTGGATTAATAATAATCCTAATAATTACTGGAAAATTATTCTCTGGCCGCCAGCGGAACAGAGACAGGCATCTTCTTCTTATGTATTTGTTCGTCTCCGGCGGATTCGGCCAGAGAATCACGGTCTATAACAATTATTACTTGTATAAATAAATATAAAAATAAAATTAATCGGACCCATTTCTTTGGGTTAAATCAAAAGACATCTAAATTCTAAAACAAAATTTCATCGTCACTAATATTCTTGAGCTCACCAACCAATACGAGTTGCAGAAACTATCCTCACCGGTGACTCGGTGAGAGATAAATTGTTAATGCATATATAAAATTATTTTAAAATGTATATTTATAAACAAAAATATAATAGTGGTTTGATATTGTTTTTAAAAAATATAAAATAAAGCAAATAATTACTAATAATATAATATGTAACATTGTTAGATAATCTTGAACCAGGACCAATTAACATTCATGTCATGTTCAAATATAGTTCGTAATATTTTATTAACTCATTTTTTTTTTATGAAATTGGAGTCAACCATATAGTCCAAGTGGGAGAAGCGTCCGAGACAAAAAGAACATTCATAGTAGTTTTCTAAACTAAAGGGATCAAAAGCCTGCTTTTCTTAACTTTCTCTGGTTCCACGTAGCCCCAAGCCCAACGTGTTGAGCCTTGTAAACTTTTTGTCCTACCTTTGTCGGGTTGTCGTTTGGAGAAAAGCATTGTGGATCCCACTTTTCTTGTTTGACAAGGTTTTTTTTTCTTTCTTTCTTATTTCTCGCGATAAATCTGATATTCTAGGCCCACATTCTTTTGGGCTTCGTCGAATAAGATTCTTACTCCGGGTTGCACAAAGTCTGGTCGAAGCCCAGTAAAGGCCTGCACCAAAACATTTTATTGCTAGTTTATTGGTAGTATTATTTTCTTGTATTATGTAATAAATATATGTGTGTAATGAAAAATAGCTTTTAGAGAGAGAGATGAAAGAGAAAGAAATGAAAAATAGCTTTTATTCAAACATATACAAAGCAGTGATACATATGACTTTTAATAGGCTCAAGATAAAGCTTCCCAAACAAGCCATAATAAAACTTTCATGGTAAGCCAAAAAGTCGTCATCATGAATGACTTAAACTATTGTGAGCCCCACAAACTTATATATATATAACATAATAGCTTATATTGTTAACTTATGTATCTCCTATTCTCCTGTGTATCAAGAGAACTGGAGTGTTAAGACAGTTGTTTCATCCTATGTCTTTAAATCCTTATACAACGACTAAATTACATTGTTATTTTATGATGGTGTAACGCGACACAAAATGTCTCCCCACAAGAGGGAATCTGGGTTCCTCTACCAAATGCTTTGGCAGAGTTTTGTGAATATGTGGCAGGGAAATTCAAATTCTCATTTTATGAAAAACAAATTTAGAGGAGAAAATGCTTAGAACTCACTTTAAATAAACGACTATTTCATCACTTTCCCTTATTAGACTCTGATGTTGCTATCTGTACTGTAGCTTTTAAGCTAACACCACCCCCACCCTCCAAAAATAGAGGTAAATACATTGTATACTTGCTTGCACAACCTAAGAAGCAGTAGTGAGTGCGAGAGTGGGAGCACGAAAGATGGCAAAATTTGAGTATGAGTGGATTAAGAGTGACAGTGGAACGTAAGGGTGGCACCCTTGTGTGACTTGGTGCACAACCACATATGTGGCCAATGCCATCCTAGCAACATAGATCGGTACTATAATGTTCACACCAGCACCAGCAAACATCCTGTTTGGCAAGAAAATATACTTTTAAGAACAAGAGTATGCCTAAAATAGGGAATTTTGAATACATTATTCAACCAGAAATCCTTATCTGGGTACACCTCCTGGAAAGACAACACAAGCAAGTTCTAGAGAGTTGATTCTTTTTCAGTACAGAATGCACCAAGGAAAAGCCATTTAAAACCTATCAGTGTTTTAAATACATGCCTGGCAAATAGTTCTCCCACAACAGAGAAAATGGTCTTCAAACCCAGTTTTAGAGGAAGAATCATCCCTCAGAATAATCTGTGAATCTAACTCGCAATCAAAAAAAGTCACTACATGTGTTGGTTCCCCTTAATCGGGGGTGCTACGAAGCACGTAGTGGATACAGACCTAACCTTTTGCATCATTTGCATAAAATAATTGTCCTAGGATTCAAACTCACATTCTCTACTTTGCAATCTGAGCTTTGAGCAACGGACCAAGTAATGGCCATCATCAATCATGAAGACAAAATCGTACCAAATGCTCCATTTTACATAAATCCAAACACTAATAAAATTTAATATCACAATCATTTACATAGTTTCAAGATTTATAATCTTCTCAATAAATGTCTTCTCTTGTGGCTTAAGCTATCTAACAAATTTCCTCTACGGCCGAAGAATTTATTACTCAACCCACTATCAGTATAAGATCTCTTAACAATTCAATGTTTGATATATATTTGGACAATCCTCGACCGATCTTCAACATGCCTAGTATAAACAACCCAATCCTTTTACTTCACCGTTCCAATTTACTTCACTTGACAAGAGGCACTATACTGTCCGTCTCCAAATCATCATCATCATCCTTGCCTTCATCCCATATGAATGGGGTCCGTCTCCAAATGCTATCGGTCTTTAAAACACGTATGACAATTATACATATGGTCACAGCAAGACAAACTAAAATATTTACGTATTCTACCTGCGTAATATGAACATAATGGTAGATGGAGAGCGATTATCCAAAAAAGAAGTTGGGAGTCTTGGACAAACCTAGGATCTTTCGTCTCCCACCCAGTTGTTCTTCTCCTTTGGTCCAGTAGGGCCTTCCTCACCATACAGCTCCAACGGAAACTTATCAAAAATATTCTCCACTGAATATCTAAGCATCAGTGGCAAAAGTTTGATGATCTTATCCAGCTCAGTTCTTGAATCATACACAATGGTCGGACCCCACTCTCTCATATACTGCAACCAACATGGCTCACTAACAACTCCATCTCCAAGATATTCAGCTGCAATAATTTCATACTGGATGCTTGAATCCATGTAATAATCGCTACGTGCTGCATCATTCCTCACTCCAATCCCAAGCTTTTTGGACCCTTGAAGATAGCTCCCAGGATGAGGGAAGCTTGCATGGCCACTTTTCGATGAGTAAACAATAGTTTTATTTCCCTCTATGAACTCCAAATCAAAAGCATCCACCCACTGGCCCCCACTGTGCTGTGAGAAATAGATACTCCAAAGCTCTCCTGTGAAGTTACTTACACGAAGTGTGAAATGTTCCCAGTCACAGACATGCTGTCCAATCTTGCTAAGGGCAAGATTCATAATACCAATCTTCAGAGTAGCTGGACCATTAAAGGGACAAAAAACCCACATCACAATATCAGTAAAAGTTCCACCTAAAGCTGGCTTCACATGTATGTAAAGTTTTGCATTTTCTAAATTTCCTTGCATGACACTCTCTCTCCGATCATCACTTGGCATATCTATCCAATATTCCCCATCATTTGTCCCACCAACTGGCAAATTCGAGCCTTCAGGATCAATGGCCTCACCAACCAACTCATTCTTCTTGCATAAAATTGCACCATTTTTGAAAAACCATGAAACAGGTGATGGAAAATAAGCTTCATCGGGATGGAAGTAAACAGTGGGACCATAGTGTCTGATTAATGCATGAATCTGATCAAGATCTGGCATTGCATGCAGAATGGGGTCAGAGTTCTTCAAGCATGCAATATGTAGGTCTTCCGTAGAACTCCAATAGGTACTGCAAAAAAAAGTCCCAACAGATACACCTCTCCCAAGCATTCCCCGATGAGAGGGTCTGGTGCTCCATACTTGAAATGGTAATTTGGGAAATTTAGAACTTGTATCTAGTATCAAACAGTAAGTTTCACATTTATCTGTCAGGTCAGCTCGAATACATCTAACTTCCTCCAGCTCAGGCTTGTCTGGCTTGTTGGTGACCACGAAACCCATAGCTTTATAACCTTCAGGCGGCTGAGGCAACCAGAAATAACCACATCCCTCGAGATTTTCCTCACTCCCATCATCTGGACTCCAAACTAACGTATAATCGAGGGGGCTAAGAAGAGGCGGAGAGTTATCTGGGTTGCAAATGAAAGAATTTTGTGGTTCACGCAAACCCACTTCCCGCACCACCAGTACAAACCCTCGTAAAGGCTGGTCATTAGATTGGCAGTAGTGACCAAGACAGAAAAATCCATCTGGTATTCCAACTGGTTTATAAAATGAGACCCCTTTTTTCTTGTCCTGTAAAAGATTGCATTCCAAAATGAACTCAAACTTCGTGATTTTGAGAACTTCAATTTCTCCAAGATTTATTCTTTCGGTAGCAAATCCATGACCTGATAGTTCAAATAAAATAAAATAAAAATAAAACAATGAGAATCATTCCGCTCAAAAGAGAACAGAAAGTAAGAACAAAATGACAGTTTATATTCCATTTGAACAATCCACTTGAACATTTTGTTTTATCAGTCTCTAATTAGTAGTGAAAGCTCTAGGCATTCTAATGTAATCTTGAAGAATTTGATAAAACTTTCCACATAATGAAATGGAGATTATATCCAAAACCATTTGTGAAAATCCCTCCCATAAATAAATAAATAAAATCTACAATTGATGCTTGTAACAATAATATGAGCAAGGCAACCGATGCAAATAAAGTGACAACGATTGCCAATATCATGTCAAAAGAAATTGAAAAAATTGGAAAGGAAAAACACGCAGTCATATCCTATAAATAGGTTGTTATACTAGACCCAACTACCTAGCGATTCCGTAAAAGGCAAAAGAAAAGAAATGTAAGGATCACACCATCAAAACACAAGGGAAATTAGAGTTGTGGCACAACAAAAGTAGTAAAATCAACCCCACGAGGTTGGCCTAGTGGGTGAGAACTTGGACCCTGGTGCCTCATGAAGCATCAGATCTCAAGTTCGAGCCTCTGGGTAAACAATTTCCTTGGAGGGGGGTGTGTGAGTATCAACTAGGAAAAAAATAATAATAAATAGTAAAATCCATTTGTATCAGGAAAAAAAAAAATGCCCATAACGGTTCTTTGGACCAAAATAGAAGAAAAGGATAACAAAAATAGAACTAAAACAACATTTCATATAAGCAAAAGGGAAAATAATAGTACTAAACTCCACATTAAAGTGGCAAACAACTCCCATCTAATAAAAGAGGTAATCATGAAGTAATGGCAGAAAAACTTATGCTTCTGAATCAGACAAGATATGGAAAAGGATATACATAATAAGCCATCACTAAGAGTTTGTCCTACTATGCAGTGTGCAATAAGATACAGACTGGATGGTATAGACCCAACCTTTGGCATTATTTGCCAGACGTGGTTGATCTTAAAGTTGAATCCGCGTTCTCATACTCCCAAATTTAGGCTCAAGAAGAATTCAGACTCCTTAATTTTGATTGAAGAAAAGACTCCTAAAAATTTTATCAGAAGAAAATCACAAACCTTTGATAAATCTCTTAAATGAAAGCAAATTGTATTTAGTCTTCTGGTATTCCTGTAAGGAGTAAAAACTAAAAACCAAAATACCAAATTTTTCCATGATTAGAGTTATTACCAGAATAAGCATGTTTCTATGTTAAATGTAGAACTAAGCCACAAGAGCAGGCAATGTTAATTGGGGCAAAGCCACCAAAGAACTGCATTTTCTACTGGATAGTTTCATCAAAGAAGTGGCAAACTAGGTAAAAACCCTAGGGGCATAATCTATGGTTTTTAATGTATAGGAGAGAAACAAACTCAAAATTACCCAAAAATATTTATAGTACAAAAAAGAAAGCAAAGTACAACAAAATGAAGCCATTTCCGCACTAGAAGTCCAGAAAATCAAATGGAACGAAAACCATCAACCATTGTCTAGAGAAAAACCAAATCGAACGAAAAACCACCAAGAAAAAGGTAAAGATCTATCACTACATGCAAGCTACAAGCCTACAGCTAAACAAAAGAAAAAAAAATAGAAATACCCAACAATCATAATGTAAAATCACACAAACCCAACTGATCAAACTAGCATCTTGAAGGAACAAAATTTAAAATAAATCCCATTGGCAAAAATTCCGAAACATAAAAAATAAAAATAAAAATAAAAATAAAATGATTAAAACCCACAAAATGCATAGGGAAATCATCCAAAAATTCAAATTTGTAATAAAAATCCTGGTACCTTGGGGCCATTGTGGAATCGGAGCCGGCAGTGAGAAACTTTCAGGCTCCGGTGGCGAGAAATCGAGGACTCTGCTCCAGTGGAAACACTTGCACCCAAACATCTTAGGCGCAATCTCTCTCTTCCCACTCTCCTCTGTCAGATTCGATCAAACAAACTCAAATTCGTTTTTTAATCTTTTGATATTTTTCCAACTCTAATACGCAGTAATACCCAAATTTTAGCGGACATCAGCATATTCCCCCAAATTCTGTGAGATCGAATGGTGGCCAGTGGGACCCTTGATTAATGTGTGTGTTATTTTACTATGCTAAAACTCTCCCTCTTTCCCCCGCGAAAAGGTTTTTATTACTACAATGCTTTATATTAGAACAAAGGTAACGGACAGGAGATGTGATGCGTGTTGCCCTTCTTTGTTTGAAAAGAAAAGAAAATAAAATAAATTGCACCCAGTCACCGACTTCTTCTAAAATTTTAACACATTACACACACGTCACTGAATTTTCATAATAACGAATATTTATAATATAATATATATATTATATATTATTATAATATAAGAACTGTTTCACACCAAAAATCACCTTGCTGCCGCGATTGAGTTTAGGAGAACTCTAAGATTTTAAATATTATTAAACGATCTACCGTGTCTAATTTGCTTAAATTTTGTAAGACGTCAGTGTAATTTACTTAGAAGGGTCATTTTTTTCTTAATTTTAAATCAATAATTTTATTTTGCGAAAAAGTTTTTTATTTTTTATTTTTTTTTTAGTTTAACCATATTCAAACTTGATTGACAAACTTATTTTTTGAGAAAATCATGTAAAAAACATTGAAGGTTTGAATCTAAAGAATATTGAATGTTTGAATATAATAATATTTGTAAGTGTCTTGTTATTTAAATAGTTGAGTTTTTTTTCATGTTTAGAATTTGTATCCTAGTCTTGTACATTTTCCCACTCCTCTAACCCCCTAACTTCTAACATTCTTGTCATAAAAAAATATATATATATAATATATTATGCTTCTTCATAAATATATTTAGGATATTTTTAAATATGACTGATAATTTTTACAAAATTCTTAGCACTGCTGTTATAAACAATTGAAGAAGATAGAGAGAGAGAGAGCCAGTTTAATAATTTAAGACTATTTTTTTTGGTTTGCTTCCTCATATAATGACGTTTGCAGAAACCTGTCAGATACACCCGCTTTTTATGGGTAAATGGTCTTAAAAAACAATTCCCTTGTCAAAATCTACAAGATGGAGTTCAATTCCATTAATAATTCTAAAATCAATGTAGCCTGTCCATAACACAAATCTGTATAGAAAAGTAAAATATTCGTAAATATGTGACTAGAGCAGCAAATGGATTTGCCTGATGGGCCCAATTTAATCACAAGCTTAAAAAACTTCTCCAATAGGGTTGTTATTTATTTATTTTGTTAGGTTATTTTCTCCCACACATTCACAATGGGATTTGAGCCCACCAAAAACAAAAAATATATATTATTATTATAGCCAATTTTAGTTCAATTTTTTTTAAAAAAATATTTATTACTAATATTGTCATTGACAATTCATGCTTGGAGGGTCCTGTCCCTCTTTAAATTCTAATTGAAAATAGATTAAGTATCGGGATGATTTGCAGCACTATCCATTATTTTGTGTTTGATGTGCATGAATGAAATATAATGAAAGTGAAAATGGAATAAGATTTAGAATGGAATGATCATTCTCATTCTATTATTTGATTGTAAATATAAAATGTGTGAGAATGGATTGATAATAACTATTCTAGTATTTTGTTGCATTAATTTAAAATTTAGAATAGAATAAATTTTAAATTGAGATCTCCAGAATATCCTCTTAGTAACAAATAATGTAAATTAACAAAATGGCATTCTTCTATAATTTTTTAAAATAAATGGTGACAGTGGCAGTGGCGGTGGCGGTGGCGGTGGCGGTGACGATGGTGGTGGAGGTAAGAAGCGATAGTGGTGTAGGTGGTGGTGTTAGAAGGCGGCGGCGACAGTGGTGGTGGTTGTGGTAGAAGGCAATGATAGTAATGTAGTGGTGGTGTTAGAAGGCGGCGGCGACAGTGGTGGTGGTGGTGGTAGAAGGCAATGATAGTAATGTAGTGGTGGTGGTAAAAGGAGATAGTGGTGTAAGTGGCGATAATGTAAGCCAATAGAGGTGACTGTGGTGGAAGGCAATGGAGGTGGTAGTGGTGGAAGGCGATGACGATAGTGGAGGGTGGAAACGGTGGTGGAAAGCGATGGCGGCGGCGGCAGTGGTAAAAGACGGTGATGGAGGTGATGGCGGTGGTGGTGAAAGGCAGTGGCGGCAGCGGTGTAAAGTAGTGGTGGTGGAAGGCAATATAGGTGGCGGTGGTGGAAAATGGTGGTGGTAGAAGGTGGTAACGGTGGTGGAGGGTGGAGACAATGGCGGTGGTGGTAGTGAAAGGTGATGGCAACGGCGGTGAAAGGCAGTGACAGCAGCGGCTGCTCTGGTGGCGGTGGAAGGCAGTAATGGTGGAAGGCGGCGACAGTGGTGGTGAAAGGTGAAAGCGGTGGTGAAAGGTGGAGGCGGTGGGGGTGGTGAAAGGCGACTGCGGTGGTGATGGAAAGTGGTGAGCGGTGATGAAAATTAGTGGCGGTGACAGTGGTGAAAGGCAATGGCAGTGGTGGAAGTTGGTGGTGGTAGTGGTGAAAGGCGGGGTTGGTTGTGGTAAATAAAATAAAATAAAAAATTACTTGAGAATAGAATGACCATTTCATAAGTTTAGTAATGGAATGAATTTTTATCCTAATAAAATGATCATTTTCACTTTAAATTGTATACCAAACAAAAAAAAAAAATAGCTAAAATTAGCCACTACACCAAACCCAACATTATATTTTGTACGAGAGGGAAGGACCTCATCCTTTTGATGCTAAAGTGTCTTCGCAATGGCACGTTGATTTCTCCCATAGGAGGCTTTTTTATTATTATTATTATTGAAAGGGTAAGCTTTCTTCAATAAGAGTTGATCTTATAAAATATATCATTTTTTTTTTTATCATTTTTAAATCTTTATATTGGAGTATTAAATTTTATTTCCTTTTTTTTTTTTTCGTTTTTTATTTATCAAATTTTCAGAATTACTGAAGAAACCTATTAAACATGTGTTTACGCGTAAAATGACCTTTACGCACCATTCCTACGACGTCGCTCAAGCTTCGGGAAAAAAGAACAAAAAAACGAAATTCTTCCCACACAGCTGTGGGGCAAATGTTTAAATAATCTGCAATTTTAATAGTGAGACAATAAGCCACTCAAAGCAAGAATAAACAAAAAGACTTGACCATTGAAAATTATGGTTACCAATCATTTATACAGACCAATTGACATATTACAAATCATATCAAATAATGTCCATTGGATTAATTTGTGGAAAAATTATTTCGTGTTGCTGTGATGACAGAAAGGTGACCAAATCACAGAAAGGTTCAATTGACAACTAAGCTGCACCTGGACGGTTGTCAAGGAGAATAAAAAAGCAAAAATAAAACGTGTCCAAATACATGAATGTAGGTTGTTGTCTGGCCTCTATACTTTCCCTGAAACAAACACACACACCCACACACACAAATGTTGGACAAATTGGGGTCAAACTCATGCCTATTTAAAGTTTCTTAGCATCCAACGGTGCATATGCCTCCATGGGAAGGAGGGTGTGACCATTCCATCAAGAAGAAGAGAACAAACTGATATTTTTCTCAACAACCAGGTTGATCCACTCTCCACCATACAAATAAGATGTGTCACATATGTACATAAATTTAAGACAACAATTTATTTTTGAAAAAATTAATAAATTGATTTTCTCAATCATACACATTCCTCCTCCCACTCTCTCTCTCCTCTGTATATAAGGTGTCCCTGCATAATTGATTCAATAATACATTAATTTTATTAGTATTTCAGTCTTCTCCATTTGTCCACTATTCTGGGAAGGTTCTCTCTTGCATTTTCAAAAGAGGTAACTTCCTTTCATCTCTCTCTCATGTTCTGTCCATTGGTTTATTAGCTATAAATAAAGGGTACCTAGTTTGGCAAAATCAGTTTTCTCTAACAAACACTACCTTTTCTCTTCTCCACAGAAACTTTATATCCAACATAACACAATACGGCCATTAAAGGTAGACAAAAACAAAGAAGAGAGAAATGCTGCTTAGGAGTTCTTCAACACCGGTTCTTGGTTCTCTCCTCTCTTCCTTCTCGGAGAGTCCCATCCACCATTCTGACCCACACACCACCACCACCAAATCCCCATCAGCCACCAATCATCACAATCACAATCACATTCACAACAAACTCTCATTTCACCAAAATGGATCGCTAAATTTCACCACATATTCATGCAACACCTCTCCCATCTCTCCCGTCATTCCCGAATTATCCGAACCCAACCTGCATTCTCGCAATGGCTTTCCAAGAGCTCAGTCTGAAGGAAACTTGGAAGGCTTAGTGAATGCCTCATGCAACCATGATGAATCCCATAGTACAAACCCACACAAGAAATTTTCACGTCGCGCCGTGTTGCAGACAATCCCATCTTTTTCGTTCCACAATTCAGAAAGTAGGTACGAGGATGAAGACAGTGACGAGGAGGAAGAATTGAAAGAATTGGAGGGAAATTGCGAGTTATTTGAAAATTCCAATACGGGTGAAGAAAGCATCATGGCTATGAAAAATGGTGAGTCGCATCTGAGTGAGAAGAAAATTGTCATGAATCGGGAAATGGCACTTATGAATAAATACAGCCATGGTTTTGAAGCGGATATAGACGGGATTAATACAGAGATGTATCTTGCAACAGGGCTTGGAGTAAATGTTGCTAATAGTGGTTTTGGTGGTTCTGGTGGTGGGGATTTTATACCAGTAGCCTTTGGCAGGGATGGTGGCGATGGCACCGGCCTTGAGCAACATTACAAGAGGATGGTAGAAGAGAATCCCGGCAACTCTTTATGTTTGAGGAATTATGGTCATTTTCTGTATCAAGTGAGTAATCTTTTCCGCTTTAAGTTCTCTTCTTTTCAGCTGATCAATTTTTATAATGAATTTTTGCTCCTCCAAAATATGAAATATTGACAGCATAATGAAACGAATATTTACAAAATTTGGCATCATTATTAAACGAGACAATCTACATATATATTTCTTTTAGCTATTTGTAGAGCAAGACCGGTGTTCTGCTTTATTAAACAATTTAGAGTTCAAAATAGGTTCTCTCTTGTTATTCCCAAGTGACTGTCAATTATGCTTTTATTTTTATCAAACTTTATATAAATCCATGAATTCTGGATCTTCTTTAAGAGATTATCTACATCTCTATGTTTTTATTTTTGGTAGTTGAAGCGGGACCTTCGAAGAGCTGAGGAATACTACTCACGAGCAATACTGGCAGACCCTATAGACGGTGACGTTCTATCACAATATGCTAAACTAGTATGGGAGCTCCATCATGATCAAGATAGAGCGACAAGCTATTTTGAACGAGCAGTCCAAGCTGCTCCGGAAGACAGGTTTGTCTTGGAGTTCCAAGTCATTGTGGGTTGTATCGATCATTAATTGCCTGCACTACCTATAAGAATACTAGATAAACAACCTGACTTTTGATTTTTTGTTTTTACAGCCATGTTCAAGCAGCATATGCTAACTTCCTTTGGGAAACAGAAGAAGACGGGGATGAAGATGGTTCACAGAATGATCGCCGCCATGTTATATCACAACCTTTCCATGTGGAAGCCATGGCTTCTCAAACTGGTTAATTATGGGAGCTCTGCTAATTGGTAGAGGAAGAATCTGAAGATGCATAACATTCTTGGCACGTGTTTAAACTTAAACTAGGACCATTCTCATCTTTTTAGAGAGATGTTAATATTATGGTTGACAAGGAATAAAATGTAGGAGAAATGTGATTAGTAAATCAGGTATTTTTTGTAATAATGAAGAATTAAACTGTTCTTATGCCACTTTATATATATATATACCTTTTAAGGGACAAGTTGAGTGTTCTTCTGCCTATTGCATAGAGATAATGGTATCACAATACGGGGTAACAACAAAACAATGATGGCTGGTCATTCTGTCAATATCAAGAAGCTAAAAAAATCTGCAACCAAAAAACCAATCTGTCTTGACCATCCAAAGAGTTTCATCTGATAAAATTTATAATAGTGACTTCACTCGTTTATAATTGTCTGAACATAACAATCTGTAATAGGCACTTCTGTTTTCAAAATTGTAAAATTAACATTTTTCTCACTAACACCCAAAAGATAGAGAAATGAGAACAAAAGAAGTATACCATATTTCACATAAATTGTTACGCAACCATCAAAATATAAGAAGAAAATGTTCTTCATTGAAAACCGATAGCTTATTCAATAAAAGAAATTTATAGCTTTGTGAATAGTTAGTTATGCCTACTTGCTCGCCTATATCCTTCATCTCACTAACCACAGCCTCTCGATCCGTTGCGATCATTGCTTCCCCAAAAATCAAATCACCCTGAATTAAAGAAATCAATCCCAACTACTCAAAAAATTTTGGTTATCAAATTCACACAACAATGAAAAATAAAATAAAAAATAAAAAACACACAAGAATGAGAATATAGTAATATTTAACTGCCCCCAACATGATTAGAAACCAGTTTGCCAACTCATTAGTGGATATAATTAAGAACAATAGATTGATTCTTAATAAATGGACTAAGAAAAAACTGGAGGAAAGTGTTTTTCAACTCCATTGTAGTCTTCCATTCAAGAAACTTGGATGCAGAAACCTAATTGACAATATCTTTGACATATTTGATTCAAAAATCACTACAGACCAAATCAAAAGAAAAAACTTAAAATCGAATAAAGACACGTAAATATAAAGAATTACTGACCGTGACGAGGACGAATTGTTTGAATCCCAATCAACCGGAGAAGAAAATTGGGTTGCAGTTGAATTAGCAGATAGTACTTTCCACAACCAGCCTGAAAGAAGGACAAATATGGAAATGAAAAACTGAAGATTGCAACAGTAAACGCGAACACACAAGAAGGAGAAAATAAAAATAAAAATCATCGATTGAATCACCTGAAGAGCACTGACAGGACTAGAGTACGGATTCGCCATCCTAGGAAGAAGCATGAGGCGATAATCCACAAAACCCTATTCTTGTAGTATATCAGCACAGCTCAGGGTAGTTTAGGCATTTATCAGACAGTTTGAAATGTTCAGCAAATTTGTTCTTGTTAAAGTTGTTAGCCCGTGAAATGGTCCGAGTTTAGGAAGAGTGGTTTTATTTGAAGCTGAGTAATGTTAGCTTTCGTATATATACATACAATATCTTCTTCATTTTTGAAAAGGTGTGAGTTCGCTATATTTAATCTTGAAATAGAAAAAAAATTTCTTTTCTTTTTTGAAATATGTGAAACCCAACTGAATCATTAAATACATTTTTAATTCCCAGTTATTACTGTTAAGTATGTATAACCCAAATTCCTACTCATTCCAAGTTTCCTTTGCTGAGTTCAAAATAATTTAAATTAACAATAAATTATGACTAGGACATAAAAATCGTCCATGAAACTCAAACTTGAATTTATAATTCAATTGAAATGTTAAAATGTGAATTTTTAAGCCCGATGCTCAAATAAGGAATATTTTTAAGCTGCGAGAATTCCTTCTGCCAATAGGAGTATTCCTTGAATTGCTCACCATAAGAAATATTCTGACTGTATCAAGAGCACAAGCGTATAAAATAATTTACCAAAAATTAATAAATAAATTATTTTTGTAAAATTTTAATAATTTTTTCTTTATTATTATTTTAAAATAACCAAACACTACAAAATAAAAAAATATTTTCTATAAAATATTTTACATCCAAATAGACGGAAGACAACAAATTTGAAGAATGATGGTTCTCTACCAATTTTATACGTGGTGTTATTCAGGTTATCACTTGCCACCCTTGTTCCATATAGAAATGTTGGGCATAATAGCTTGTGATTGGACCTTACATTCCCAATAATGTTAAAACACAAGCATTCTCAAACGAGGTCGGATTGTGCCCCACAGGTAAAGAACCCCACAAATACTTATCTCATAAATTAGCACAAAGCCGACTTATTTGTATATTTCCAAACTCGCTTACTAGATTGGAAAACTAATTTATACGTATTAACACGATCATATAGCCCTAAACACAATTATCACAAAGCATACAACAGTTGGCATCCATTGTGACTAAACACAATCCCAAGTAGGTTGCTAAGGAGTAAACAAACAGAAAGAAACTGTGGGGGAGTGAGTACTTACCTGACCAAAAACAAAACCTGGTTTTCACTAGCTTAAAAGGGTAGAAAGAAAACTCAAAAGCACTTAAAAAACTGTGCATTCTTTTTACGCAATTCTAATTGAAATGAGCACCAGACAACTAGAGTAGTAATGCTAATATCTCCTTCGGAATGAAGAAAAAGCAACATTTCAATAATCACCACCACAAAAGGTCGCCACCATTGCTAGAGTCAACAACACACACACACACTAAATAAATTCTTAATACGTAAAGCTTCATATAAACTGAACCATTAAACATTCACATAAATCAAAACTGCTTAAAGATGCACATACTAAATAAGCTATCACTGATTTAATTAGTATTTATCTCATGCGCCTGCCACAAAACCATGTCCTGACTCGGTTTTTTCCTTCTATGAGGTGCCTACCTCTACACACACACACACACACACACACACGTAGTCCCGCACAGAAAGTATACACCGGCCAGGAATCTAATGAGGCTCCAGCATGTAGCAAGTGGCATATTCTCACTAGTGCGTAGACGAATGCGGTGCTGTCAAATTCTAAAAACTAAAATACACTTTCACTGCCAATTTGGTTAGACATAATTTGAACACAACTATGCTCGACTGTCCAAGCGTGTCATTTTCACAATACTCATGTCCAAAAAACCCATGGTATAGCTCGATTTCTGTAGAGGCCATCAAAGAAGCAAAGGATAAATTACAGGTGGCGAACTTGGGTTGGGTTGATCCTGACTACTCAGTAGTAATTGCCATAATAGGCTTGAGGGGTTGCTGCAGTAGGCTGCTGAGCTGGAGTCAAAGCTGCTGCTGGTGTGGCTGCTGGTGCATAACTTTGCTGGGGGAAGCTCTGTCATAATTATAACAAACCATTATTAAGAAGATATGATGCATGCAGCAACAAAGAATTATTAAGCTGAAATTCTTCTAGCTTTCCCTTTCCATAAACAACCCCCCAACAAACCCACCATCCCAAATACCCCAAAAAAAAACATATCAACATTATATGTAAATATAAGAAATTTTTTATAAGTGCAGTTAAATCATAAATTGAGTTTGTCAAATTATTATAGTAAATATATGTAACAAATTTGCATTACCTGGACAGGAGGATATGTAGGAGGATAAGCACCATAGGCAGCAGTTTGGGGTGCAGACGTTGGAATTTGTGGATGTGAATAGTTGTTTCCATAAGTACCATATGCACCGTATGCAGCCTACAGTTTGTGACAAAACAAAAGAAAATTTTCACATTGCCAAATCTAGATATCAAATCGATGTGAGACCTATTATCATAGCAATTTGAAGACAGACTTATGCAGAATTCCCCATATAAATCTAACCATGAAGTAAGACATAACTCATCAGTCATCACAATATCAGAGCAAGCAAAATAAATTCGAAATAGTCAAAAAGAATAATAAAAAAAAAATTACAGTCTTGCAATAATATGATCAACAAAACACACAACAAAGAAAAGCAAAAAGATTCATATTAAGTGAAGTACAAATAACAGCTCTCAGTATTTTATACAGTGCATATAACACCCCTATATAACGGAAATGGTATATGACTGCCTTTTACCTTTGGAAAATATTGCACATAAGTACCCTCGTTAGAACGACAATATTTTGGTTTGTCCTTTTTTGTCATTTTCCAGAGGTTTTTTTTTTGGTATAACATAGGGTAATTTGCGTAAATTTACTACAGAAGAGTAACAGCAAGCCCTCATTGGCACCCTTTTCTTACTAGAGTGGTGTTCAGTAAGCTTTAGGGAGTTATAAGCAATACATGTATAACCAACGGGTTTTTTAAGCTTTACCCAAATATGTTTAACAGATCCTATCTGCTGCAATTCTCATCTTTCAAGTCCACCACTCGGAGAACCATATTACTTTCAAAACCAAGAACGAATTCTATGCACACATCCTTGTCCGTCATTCCACATGTTAAGTGAAGCTTTTGTATTTAGTTACGGTTGCAAAAGAACTAGCAGTCCATGAATACAATGGATTAGACTCATGAACCAACCCGTCATTACTTGTTCAGCCAATAGACAAACGAAGCAAAAGCAAAAGTCAAAGCCAGCCAGAACGTCAACAGCCCTGTGTGCTCTTGAAAGCTCATAAGCAGAAGAATTAATGTGTAATCTTATTACAAGCCCTCCAAACATCACAATACACAAAAACCCAGATGCAAGAATTGGGTTATTAATTGATACATTTTCCCTATCTGGCCAATCTCCTCCAAATCCTTCTTCACTTTTATCTATCATATACTTCAGCTTGCATGTAATAAATCTGGAGGAAAAGAGGCCATAAGCATCTGAATAGTGTATAATGATCAAAATCTCAAAATTTAATTTAAAAATAAAATTTAGAAAATACAATTTTTTCGATGATGGGAAACAAATTAGACGGGATCTGAACAGTTAAATAGAATAACTGGAATCTTTACCTTATGTTTCCCTCTTTTTCCATTCTTTTTCCTGTATTGGGGGGGAGGGCATGGAATGTTCTAGGAGAGAGAGAGAGAGAGAGAGATTGGGATAATAAATGTTTGATACTTGGATACGACAAATTGAAGAGTAGGAGTGTTGCTTATAGTATGAGGAAACCATATAGGCTTCAAATAGAAAGGGAAGAACAGTTTTATTAGAATGGTAAGCAAATATAGAAGGATACCGGAATAAGGTGACCTTACCTTCATCCCTTCCAACAACCCACTATAAACCTGACAAGCCTGTCATGTTAGTGTGGGGAGCGAGGCAAGTTACCAGATTTGCAGGTTAGATTTCCTTCCCAAATTAATAAAGTAATACAAATATTTAGTCAAGAAATTCATATCTTCACAATGACGAAATCATGAAACACTCAAACCTCATGTAAATAACTATCAAATTCTTGTATTAATATTAATACAACTAACAAATATAAATCAACCACCTCTGCTGTTCATGGAAGTTTATATAACTCAAATTTGGAGGCTTAAGAAATTTTTATCATCGTGTTCTACATTTTAAATAATTAACGGAGACCATGGTTGGAACCGCCCACAACACAAGCATAGAAGCAAGAGGAAATTTTAAGAAAACTAGGGTTTTACATTATTATGCTTTTCTTATTTTTAAGCATGTTATTTTGGTAGTTTTTTAATAGATTTTTATTTTAATTCCCAGTATATGTAGGGTTTAATACAATGAGTCTGTTATTTTTTATTATTGATGGATATTATTGAGATATAGATTTTCTCCATTCTTCTTCTCTTATCTGTCTCCTCCTTTCTTCACTTCCAATTCTACATCACTACATTGGAGCTACTGCCTACTTTCACCAGATGGCAGATTCCGGTTCCTTCTCCGTCCACTAATAAATGAGCCAAGCTCCTCTTGACCTCCTTCAGAACCACACAACCGAAGTTGAACATGCATGTGGAGCTCTGTCCTAACTTGGGTTCAGTCCAAGTTTGGAAATGCAAGCAGTCCTGCACCATCCAACCTCATCAAACTGGGCGTGAAATTCTGACACTCAACTCACCTCAGTTCATTTACCCTAAAGTTTTCATGTCCAGCTCTAGGCATGACTAATCATCCTCTACTTCCAACTAAGAGCCTGATAAAAAAAATAATAATAATAATAGTAAAAAAAAAAAGTGAAAACAAAAAGGCCCGTATAAAAACAATACTAAAAAATTCACCTTACCCAAAAATACTACAAAATTCACTTTTTGCAAATGTCACAATGGAGTCAGGAAACTAACAAGGGCAACAATCTGATCCTCACATCCTATAATTTATGACTAATTGGGAGAACAATTGCCTTCCTGACAAATTTAAGAACTAACTAACCAAATCACATGATTGATGATGGGTAATGTACCTGTTGGGCATAGCCAGGATTCCACTGTTGACCTTGGGCCTGTGTGACCTGTGGCCAAGCTTGGGGCTGTAAAGCATAACCTGCTGCCCATTGGTTTTGTGCACTTGGATATGCGCCCATTACTGATGGGGCAGATGAAGGAACACCAGAATAAGACTTTGCTAGCTTTGTCTTATCTGAAACTAGAGTATCCTCTGCCTGGCGCTTTTTGGACTCCAATGTACTTTTATGATGTAAGAAGAGTTTCGCATGACGATCATCAGCCTTTTTGATGGATTGTGCATCCCCAAATAGATCCAGAAACTGCAACAACCAACGGCTAATAAAATACTTGAAAAAAATATTACAGTTAGCTTACTGGTTGTTTTCTTTAGAACTTCATTTTAAAAGAAAATTGTTCCAAAATGTTTACTTTATATATATATTATACAGTTCATGTATATTTATGCCACATTCTTATGTTTGATTACAAAAATTCAGAGTTATATGAAAAAAAAAAATAACTCAACTTTTTATACATGAATAAAAACATGCTATAGAAAGTGCAATATAAAATAATGACATATTAGCACATAATCAAATATTCAACAACTTTCAATATAAAACTAGAAAAAGGAAATGAATGAATTCTACAACCAGATAATCTAATCATGAACAACACAAATTGATGCAAACTACATACTTTTTTCACAAAACATTTAAAACAAAAGAACAAATCATCACCTCCAAAAAAATGCTAGATAGCTCCTCTTTTTCAGCGATACTTGCAGCATTTGGGTTATCATTGTTAAGAACAATGAACTTGTCTACCAATGACTCTAAATAATCAATTCGTTTCGGAAGTGACTGTATTGATTCAAAGTGGATTATAGCCTGCATACATCAAGAACAAGTGAAACATGTAGGTAAGAAAATAGTAAACTGAAATAATATCAAGAATTGAGAGAGAGAGAGAAAAAAAAAGAACCTCCAAAAGTGGTTTTGACAGTTCAACATTCTCAAGTGCTTGATCAAGAATTTCCCTAGCTTTTTCCACATTACCAGAAACCTACCAACAAATATCACAGAATGAGAAGAGACCATGCAATAAAAAGGTTATTACCTTAATGACTCTTGGAAAACCATAAAATATGTACTGCGAGTTCAACCAATAAAATTTGGTTAAATTTGTACGGGTAATTTATGACTACAAGGCTCTTCAATCTAACCAAACAAAAATCTATCTGCAAGATTGCAGGAGAGAAATGCTGTCAGAGTGCATCAGCCTCTCCAGCAAATCTAAAATGAATCGGACTAAGAGAGATCAATTAAGAAAATACAGACCGCCGTTATAGAGAGCACATTATGATGACAGCAATATCACGCACAAGATGGTGAGAGGACATTTCAGATATTTCAGCTTTGAATTTTGCAGGCGTTCAATCATAATCGTACAAAAAATAAGTATTATCATTGAAAGAATATTCCAACCAGAATTCCAACCTAGTCTAGACCATTTTCTAGTTGTTAACAAGCCTAGGAGAAATTAATTGTCCAACAAAACTGGAATTTTCCACTTCTTCCAAGGAAGTTACAATGCACAGATCCATCCCGAGGAAATAGCCACTTTGGAAAAAGCCAAACGTTCAGAAGGCCAAAAGCACCGACCATGGACAGTGATGGTGTTGGAAGCGGCGGACTAGGTAAACAGCACCTGATATTATTTGCACCTAACCGTCACCCTCTGACTCGAACGTGTATTGAAGTGAACGAAAAAATGGACATTTTATAAATATGAGGAAATAAATGCATGCCCTATGCTGCTATGCATCCACGACATGGAATCAATCTATATGATACGATAAAGATGACTGACATTTCAAATAACATCCAAAAACAGGATAGAATTATTCAACCCACTGGGGATAAAACTGAACAGGGATGTCTACTCTACTGAACCAGACCATGGTTTGGATCTCGGTAAGCAATCAGTCTTTAAATTTGACAGTATTTAAAGAAAATCAATGGGAGACGAGTCTCAACTAAAAAGTTAAAGGATCATGTTACTCCATAAAGACAACCCAGGTTGAGAACTAAGGCTTGCCAACTAGAAATTTTGGGTGAATTTTTTTAAACCAAAGTAATTAGAATTGCGGCTTGCCAACTGTCAGGTGAAAAACTCTCCTCTTAAATTAACTTAAAAGGAAGTAAATCCAAAAAATTAAATAAATAAATTAATAAATAAAAAGAACAATATTGAGCAAAAAAGCATATAATAACAACTGCATATCATACCAAGTGCAAAAAACGAGAATATTGAGCAAATAACAGCGGCAGAGACTGTGAATGCTCCTTTCCTTTTTCAATAGCAATTGCCTGTTCATATACTGAACAGGAATCTTCCAGATTCCCCTGCATTATATTGAAAGAAAAAACCAATTATAACTTGCAATTAGAGATCATAATCCAGAATATTCAACAGCTCACTTAAACAACATTACCAGCCGATGTTCCATGTTCGCATGCTTAGTGATTGCTTCTAGTAAACCAGGTGAAATTTCAGTGTGGACAAGCTGATAGGCAGCTCGAGCTCCTGGAATATCCCCACTCTGCTCTTTAAATCGAGCAGCAAAGAGGTGAATCTCTGGTTGTCTCTGTGTAAATTAGCAATGATTCAAGCTTAAGACAGAGGTAGAGGAAAACAGAAAAACTATAAATTTAACCAGTTAAACAACCAAAAATTGCAATCAGATTTTGACAAAATCAACATACCAAAAATTTCACTGAAATTTTCAAAACCAAACATTCCTAAACTTCCTTCTCTACTTATATTCATCAAACAGAGATCAATCCTCACTGACTTTTTCAAAAATAAAATAAAATTATAATAATAAAGAACGAAAATAATATCAGCATTTATTTCTTTTCTAATTTTTCTACAAAATTCCTAGTAGTTAGTCCAGTCCCTACATAAACAACTTATAACAACACAATCAACCATAGGGCCCCACAATTAACTGTGGAGTCAAAAAGCCACCAAGGGCAGAGAGAAGTTCTGTACAATGTAACATCAGGAAATAAAATAACTAAAACTAAAACTTGGATCTCCCATAAGGAACTTCTTGGACTTCTTTGGCAAAAAAACTCCAATAGCCAAAAGCACCACTAGGGTCACAAAAACACAATTGGTAATCAAAGCAGAAGTGAAACCACTTTGTCTATGCCCGTGAATCTATTAGGTCAAAAGAACAAAAATTTCGGCAGAACCCTCTTTCTAAAGAAAACTTCAATATATATATATATATATACATATATATATACACACAATCTAAAAAGGTCGACGACTTGTGAATGCATCAATAAATTTCAGGAAAATGTCCAATTGCACAGAAACCCAAATCCCATTTTTACTGAACATACACCTTTATGCCAAAATGTCCTCCAACTATATATACAAAAAACAGAAAGAAAGTCAACAAAAATACTTAATTTTTACTGACACATTTGCCATTACTACATTTAGAACACAAAAGAAAATTTCTAGGGGTCTTTTTGGTGGATAGTTATATCAATTAGCAACAAGGACATTGTATCATTCATCCTCAAGCAAACATGAAAGGAACATCGTGAAGAAAGTGGCTGTAAAGATTTGGAACTAGGACAGCACACAATGAAGAACTGTTACAACATGAATACTAAGCACGTTTAACAAGGTAGATATATCAAATAAAAAAATATACTCAATGAAGGTGTATTATACAAAGTCCCACACAGGTTTAGATGCGATATCAGTTTTAAGTGGGTAAAAGTGGAGGGAAACACCACCGTGCCTTTAGCTCAAATATTATTTGCAACTTCAAAATGGGAGTTGGAGGGTCTAAACCCCTAGGAGGCAACAGCTGGTGGGTGGGTGGGTGTACGTGTGTGTGGAGAAATTATTGGCAAAGCATGCCTCGGATAGCACAGGGTCCATACCTCCTTTTGTTTGGCTGAGTGGAAGGGAAGGGGATTATATTAACACACTTAATTGAGGGTAATAATGTATTTTCAATTTTATCAAACAAATATCAATTTTCCGTTCTCCACTTCCACCCAATTTTGGATGGCAGCAAGATGGGGGGGCCCGGAGGATGCCTCATCCATCCTCCAATCTCACCCCCCTCCCTCTCTCCCCTACCAAACATTGAATGTTGACTCCTTCCTTCTCTCCCTCCCTCCTTCCATCCCAACCAAACAAAGTCTAAGAACCAATGAACAATTTAAATAGAATACAAGACCACAATTTATACCTTCACAAAGACCTGGGTAGCACGTGCAAGTGCATTATTTGCAAGATCCACGCTTCCACTAGCCTCCATGCATAAGACATACCGTATCCAATACTCAGGATAATTTGCACAAGCAATTAGGCATCTTTCATATAACTTGACAACCTGATCCACAGAAAAGGAACATAATGGATCACAGAGTTCCAATTCAAAGCTACAGAACTAAATGAGTAATACAAACAAAGGGAACTTGGGAGAAATGCATAAGAAATACTCCGTTGGCGGAACAGGGAGGACCCTCAAATAGGAAAGGAGGGACCCTCCTTGCCTGACAGATAGATGGTTAGGAAGATAAGAACACACCTGCATAAATAACATTAGAACTTTAAAACAAACATTTTACCATACAACATATCATGAACCTAGAATGTCCACTCACAAATGAAGGTTTGAAGTACTTAGCCTTATAGAAACCAAATGGAAGGCCCATGCTTTAGTCCAAGTTCAATATCCCGTTTTAAAAGATGCTTCATCCAACGATTTTAGCCAATAAAGCATATGATGCGGCAGATATTACTTAACTGTAAGTCAGCGTATAACAAGTAGTACAAACTAAAAGTACAAGCCACGGGATTCAAAAGTCACCAAAACAATCAAACTCAAAATACCTTATTGAAGTCCTCTCCTCCTTCAATAAAATCTAGATAATTATGCCAATTTTCAAGCTCTGCAGTGTTGAGGGGCCGCACATGAAAGTAAGGCCGCCTGATAGCTGTTTCAAAACCAACGATCTTAGAATCGAGCTCCTTAGCTTTCTTGTGCATCTCTTCTCTAATGGCGATATACTTCTCCAACTCCTCAGCATCTCTTAAGACTGCACTTACAGGTTTAGAAGACTGTTCCACAGCATTAGGATGAACCTCTCCCTCATTTTCTTGAGCATCAGATTCTGAAGTAGCAGCTGCTGCAGCTGCAGCTTCCTCGGCGGTCCTTAACTCCGACAGATGCCGACTTGCAACTAACTCCTTAAAGCTGAAAATTGGCACAATCACAGGAATAAGAACGTCTGAGGTAACAAGAAACTCAACCATTTTTTATAATTACATACATCATGTATAAAAATATCCAAAATAGCAACCAAACTCTCAAAGATAAAATAAGCGGGAAAGAAAGGTGAAAGATGAAGGCGGCATTTGGGAACCGTGCAAACTTCAGAACATAGATTACATAAATGACACCCATAGCACACAAATAATAACAAAATGACTCAATATAAGAAAAAGAAGAAGCTTTAATAGCAGTAAAAGCACACAAACCATCTGAAAATGATTTTATACAAGGAAAAACTACATGCTAGCAGTGGACCTATGTAAAAAGTCTTGTTTGTTTTCCTTTAGATATAGTATTTCTTCAGCACTATAGAAATGGTTGAAACCACAAAAAAAAACCAGAAGCATTTTCTCCAGCTCCATAGATGCCAAGGAATAAGTATTCTCTAATGCCTAATAAATTTCTATTTTCAATCAGAGAAGCTTTAGGTTAAGAACAATCCGAAGAATGATAAACATATTCGTATCAAATTAGAGAGCAATCAGCAAAACTACGCCATGGCATCAGTTCAAGGAAAGATATATCAAACCTGTGATGCATTCAGCAGTCTTCCACAAAAACAAAACAATGGCTTAGCAAAATTGCCTCGGCTAAAAACACCAAAATCCACCTATTCCCCTTCGGACTAAGATAGCATGATTCTAATGAAACAACTGATAACGTGGGCAGTGTTTTACCAAACCCAACAAGGTACAACTCAAGTAAGCAAAATAATAATTCTTAACAACATGACAGAAGTCCCCAAAAGTTTAAAGTGCAAAGAAACTAAAATGTGCATATTTAATATAACTTTCGCACATGAACTTCGCAACAAAACAATTCCATGGCAGCACCTGTTGTATATAAAAACAAGTTGAATGAACTCTTGGAAGAAGTGAACCTGTTAAACCAATTATTCTTTCAAGTGACCAATTCTTTTCACAAGGGTTGCCCATAAAATAAATTGTACAAATTCGAATTCAAACTTTAATGTACCATCTAGTGTACCAAAAGCCCTTTATTAAATTATGATTCCTTATGAACAATCTCCCCTCACCCCGTTCTCTCCCCCCTCTTGCATCTTCTACTTCATTTCAGAAGCTAAAAGTTCAATTCATTACAATTCATAATTCCTTGTCAATGCAAAGCATACAAAGGCACGGCCACTGAAAATTTCTCCCTGATTTCTTCTATTTAATTTCAGAAGTTTAAAAACCCCAACTCTCACAATTCATGATTCCACAAAGTGCTCCAATACATAACAAACAAAGATCACGTTCACAAGAAACAATTCAAATTTTGATATTGGTCGGTTTGAGAATGTTCCTTTAATCCAACAAAGTACTGTTTTCCTGTCTCTCATTTCTTTCCTGACCATATCGAAAAACTATTGATTCAACTCATCCTCGCAGTGCAAACTTAGTCCTGGATACTACTTATCAGTGCTCATAAGGAATGCAATAGGGTGTAATCCATTTTATAACAAATTCCTCTATTCACATTATCACATATGTGGCACACTCACAGCTGCATAAGTTCAAATACAAACAGCAGTGGCATATAGAAACAGGGACAATGCACAAAAAAAAAAATCTAGTCGCAGTGAAAAGGAAGTCACCCTCGCTAATAATAAGAACAAATGCATAGATAGGGGGGAAAAAGGAAAGAAAAAGTAAAAAGACGAAGCAGAATCACCTGTTGAAATAGCGATCAAGTTGTTGATTAGGATTTTCTAGTATTCGTGTGTAGATCATGGCAAGATGTGACCACTCCTGCTGTGAGTACTCATACTCAATATATTTGTCCCACAGTGAGAAAGATAAGTAATCTGTTCCAACATAAGCTAATCCTCGCTCAAACAGCCTGAAACAACATGAAAATATCCATTAGAACATATATAAAAACATCAACTTAGCCATGGCAAGAACGTCCATAAATGCGAGATAGCAGCACAAGTGTTGAAGGAGAAGGAATAATTCACTCTAAGAGCACATGACACATCCAAAGTCAGGCACAAATGCACTGCAATTACCTTCCTGAAAATAATCATACTATGTCCCTGAAATGGAGCAGTGATAGAGGCCATCTTATCTTAGCCCTTAACTGGTCAAGATCTTCTCAGCAGCATTTTGTATATTGACGCACCTCAATTTGTCATAGTTAAAAACAGCAAAAGTTCATGGAGAACTACATGGACTATGAGAGTCCCAAGGAAGAGAAGTGAAAATAGAAGGGGAATAATGAAGGCATGAAATAAAATTAACCCCAAAAGAAATTAAGATAGCTATCAGATACAGTAGCCTCAAACTAGTCTGCACACCAGAAATACAAATTTGTATTTCTGAAGTACATCCCAAACAAACCTTTTCGCCATACATGTGAGGAGTTGCTGTAGTAGGCATACCAAAATCAGGTTAGAAAGCAGTGAAAAGTAATACAATGAACCAAAGAACAGAAATTACCTCCGAATGGTGTCTGGATCTCCATATGTACTTATGGCAAATATACAATAGTGCAACCAAATGTCCACAGAATAGGTCACTCCCTGAACTGCTCGTTCATAGACATCCACAACTTTGTCAATAGAGCCCAGGCGTGCTTCATGATCCGCATACTTCTTCCAATAACCATAACACAATGGAAATTCCGCTAAAAAGGCATCATAAACTTTCCGAATTTTCAATATATTGTCCTGTATATGAGAAAGGGGTATGTTAGCTCCACCAGAAAGAAAAAGGCCCTCAAAATGCCAAAAACACAAAAACAAACTAAAACAAGAACAACTTCTAAGTATGTAAGTGCAAGTGGGGAGAAAAAGCCCGACAAAATGCTAGTACATGATAAATGAAGCGAAATAATGACTCCCACCAAGTAAACCAGAGAGTAGATTCAAAAGCTAGCACCGAACAAAACTCTGTGATGGCAATTTCTAACAGAATATGATAAGGGAAAACCTCAAACCAGAAAAAGACATTAAACCATGTCAATTCTGAAGAAACCAGATGCTGATAATACACATTCTATAGACCATTAAGCAAATAAGCCATGCTTTGATCCATTCACATATCGTGACACGTTCAACCCAGCAACAATCATCAATATAATTTTTGGAAACTCAGTAAGAATCTCAAGGAAAAGCAAACTATAAGGAGGAAAAGGTATCATAAGTTGTTTCAAATCTAAGTCAGGGGCACCATGAGAGGTTGTATAATAAAGGTCCAAGTCACAACCCACTTGTTGTGTCTTAAGAGGTGAGAGTAGTTTGAGAATTTTACATTAGCTGGACATGTGCGATAATTGAGGTATATGGGTTGAACTTTAGGTTGTCATAATATTTGGATCTTCATTTGTTGTGGACTTCCATAGGTTTACCTGGTTTTTACTAGTCAAAACCTAAGTTCAAGGATATGGACTCCAAAACCTATTAAAATTAGGATGCCTGGAAGTCCATATATGTCAACACAATGTTCTCAATAAAATAAAGAGCAATTCTTGGAGAAATCTTAAGCAATTATGTTTCTTGATGATTGTGAATTGCGAAATTACGGCCAAGGAGCAATAGAACCCTTATGGTCTTCTCCAATTTATTTATTTCCCTACAAGTTCATGAACTTTTAACCTTTGACTGATGACCAGATCTTGCTAGACTCTATTTACCCTGAAAAACCTATTCTGACAAGCCTAATCACTTTTCTCCTAAAATGCTCAACCATAGTTGATAGAATCCTACAGTATAAACCAGGACTAGTTGTGTCCACAACCCAGATGTTCTGTTCACAAGCTGAAAACAGCACTGTAATTTTGACTTTTCCTCCCCTTCACAGCCTTTGCAGCCCCTAAAACTCAACATCTCCACAAACCTTAGCCCATTCCAAGAAAAAAGGGAAAAACAAAAATAATCAGCCCCCAAGGATCTTACATAATGCTGTCCTACAAAAGAACAAATGAAGGCAAAAAATAATTAAATTATCTACTTATTTTTGCTACTTACAGACCTTACCTCCTCCAATTCTTCACAGTAATTCATATCGTAGTAGTTGAGAAAAAAAAAAAAAAAAAAAAAAAAAAAAAAAAAAAAAAAAAAAAAAGAGAGAGAGAGAGAGAGATCTTCATATTAGAGTAACTAACTATACTTTGACCAAATGCAAATTCTTAACAAAACTCCAGATCCAAATGCTGATGGTCAACCCCATTAAATTTACACTCGAGGGCATCACAGAACAACCTGTTGGGGACCCCAATGAGATGTCATAAGAGACCAAATTCATACATGTGCAACTGAAGATAAAAGTGTGCAGCCCATTATGTTGGAAACTAAGTCTCAAATTTGAGGCGTTTTGATCATATCCTAATACATATGCCATAGTGTTAAATTACAAGCATTTGGTTATAGACTGAACTTTAATTTCAGCTCATGCATTCAGCCGGTCCCTTCCTTCTCATTTTTTTGACAAGGATACTCATCTGTATGGATTGGAGATCAAACCATCCACCTCGCATTTAGGGTGTGGAGGAGATGTTATTTATGTTAAATGAATTCATATAATACTTGGAAAATAAATTATGACACTTAATTATAGAGATCATATATGTTTTTCAAGATGTCATCTTGGACACACGCCTCATAAGCATGTCAGACACTTCAAGTTTGAATAATGGTAAAGAACTCTCTTATTATGTTCCTTTTGTCATGCAATTATATCAAAAGAGTCAAATGCCCATGTTGAATTTTCTATATTAAAAAAAAAAAAAACCAAACCAAGATTCTCCTCTAGCAGTTGACATGTAAAAAATGCCTGCCAATATGACAAATCAACAAGCCAAATTCTTAAGAACATCTGAAATTCACTTTAGCATACCTCTGCCATCTTCTCGGTCTCCTCAATGAGAGCAGTCCATGCATTAAAATCTAAAGAATTAGCTCTCACTATGCTCCACAATCGTTCTTCTTCAGAAGACAATGCTGCCAATAAAAATCAAACAAAAAGTACGAATGAATAGATAATGCCAATACGAACCTAGTTTGCAAACTGGAATTCGAACAGAGGGAAGCAAAAAATTTGGATAGTAAACAGTAAATTTAGTGGCAGAAGACACTAACACATTCAACACAACGGCAACAACGCCGATAATATTTGGAAGAATCACTGATTCAAGATAAAGGGACAAAGAAGGCTACATGGTATGAGAGGAAGAAAACTTGAAGTAAAAAAAATGTCATGCCCCACATAGCAACAGTAGCCTAAATTGTCCGTTCAAGTAGTAACAAATGGCTAATTCAAATAAATACGGAAGCAGGTATTAAAATCTTGGAGTGGCCAAACTCCCGAGTCCTGCAATATCAAAGCCAAGGTTCACAGTAGCGCTATCAGTCTTGGTGTAACGGACTCGGGCGAGCATCGGTGTTACGTAACGGTATCGATTATCGCAGTTGTGAATTTTTTTCAAACTCACACATCGTTACCAAAACGCACCGATACGAGATTTTTTACAACACAATTTGATAAAGATGCATTTTTAGTGAAATTTATTGAATTTTTAAAGATCATTTAGCAAAAGCAATGACTTATTAATAAATTTTAAGTTGCTGGTATTATTAAAAATTATTTGTATTATACTTTTTATGAAAATAATGAATTAAAATATACTTAAATTTAAAATAAATGAATACTCATATCATGGAACAAGTAATTAGTTTAAAATTAATGTCAAAAATTTTGAGAACAATAAGTAGTTCACCACCAAAATGAATTACGTTATGGATTGTTCAATTTTTTAGTTTTTTTTTTTTTTTGTAGGTCAATTTTTCTTTTCTTTTCTTTTTTTTTTTTTTTTTTTTGCTCAAATTTTCTTTTATTAGCAGCAAGTTGTACGATAACTAAGAAAAAAAAATAGAACAAGAAAATATTTAGTATTTTTAGTAAGCAACAATCAATAAAGTACATCAGGATGTTAAGCAAGAATTCCCAAAGGAGACAATGACATGACTAAAACATTCAACTCTCCAAAGATTATCTTTTTTTATTAAAAACAAACTTCTGGAACTGGACCGGTTCAGGCTCAGCCCGATACTAAAAAACGGGCGGTTCATCCAAGAACCGGCTGACAGTTAACCCGTGAATCCGTACACCCAGCGATATACCGGGCTGTAACGGAACCGGTAGCTTTGAAAACCGACCAGAACCGGCCGGTTCAGTGAACCATGATCAAAACTAAGAAAAAAATAGAACAAGAAATAAAAAGGATTGAAAGTTGATTCAGTAATGTAGTAGGCACCCAGATATCAACAACCCACAGTAAGTAAAGAAAATATTTAGTATTTTTTGTAAGCAACAATCAATAAAGTACATCAGGATGTTAAGCAAGAATTCCCAAAGGATACAATGACTAAAACATTCAACTTTTTATGATATTATTATATTTAATTAAATGGTTTGTTTTAAAAACATAATGTGAAGTGTACAGTTCAGGCACTTGACTCATTCTGAAACCAACAAATGAACATGACCAGAAAGTTCTAATGTATAACATAGTTACCTTGATTTACTGGATATGATAGTTAGGTACATATCTAACTATACATGTCGTAAACATATTTCCTAGCTAACTATGCTCTTGTGGTATAATGTCCGACTCACGTACCTTAGTCATTTAGAACAGTCCATGTAATAGGTGATAAAGCACAATAACATCATACCTTACATAAGCATTATAATAACGTGTCATGGAATGAAAAGAGACATACCAGAACCATCCATTAACTGATGCACAGAAGCAGATCCGTGAACACCATCTGAAGTAATCCCATTCTCACTAACGCCGATCAGCGAAGTATTTCTTGCTTCACTAACATTATTTCCATTTATAGAAGAATCGTGACTAACAACTTGAGATGAATCCACAGATGCATTTTCGAGAGACACGGGATTCTCACTAGTATCAGCTACTCCATAGGATATCTTGGAATCATATGTCATGGTAGTGGGAGCTTCCTGTACGGCAGAATTTAGATCTGTATGGTATGCATTTCCACCACCAAAATTAGAAGCATCGGGCACTATAGTTGCATCAGGCACTGTAGTTGCATCAGGCATAGCAACAGAAACAGCCATGTCCCCAGTAGTCTTTGCAGCAGGAGCATCCATTTCTCCAATAGTTGCACCAGCATCAGGAACATCATTTGAACTTGCATCACCGTAATCAGTGGAAGAGTAGCCGGCAGATGTATACTCCATAACAGCAGATGTTTGGGCAACCGCTGCTTCACTGTCTCCCATACTGGTAAAACAGATAGTGTGACTCAGCAAACAAGCTGCAAGGTTACAAGCATTATTTGCAAATCAATAATTTCAGAATAGTGTTCAAACTTGATGAGAGTGATAGATAATTTAACAAAATCGCAAACAATAATCCAATTACTCTATGTACCAATAATATTACTCTATGAACCGATAATAGTTTAACTCCAGTGCATTTGAAATCATGACAGAGCACCCTAACCCATAGTATTAAAATATCCCAGAGGTCGCAAGTCCAAGAACTTTAACTAGTGAAGAACACTAATTTCCATGTTTCAGATTTGTCAAAACAGACTTAAGTCCTTTAAAACATTTACCCTGTGCAAATTAGTAAGCATGCCTTCTTTTTTTGGTATTTATGGGACCAGATTTAATGCTGCCCGCAAAGAGTAATAAATTCCAGTAACCTAAGGAATCTAGGCACGTGTCAGAATTAGAAGACATCCAGTTTCATGCGTATAAAACCTAGTTTAGTCTCTAATTCAACAATCAATGTGGCAAAAATCCACTAGTTTGCATATGAAAAGATACAACACTCCTATCTGGAGCTTCTTGACAGGCCTATAGAGGAACACGGGATTGGGAAAAGGACGGTCTTGCATCTTAAAAGAAAAGCACAGGCTGCAAGTTCACCTGTTATCAACCACGAACATAACTCTGCTGTCAACTTACTGTAACAAGTAATTAACTCAAAACACAGCTACTTTACAATAGTGGTAAATGTCGTGAAGTCATAGCACTTCTTGGATGAGAAACTCTGCCTGGAACATGGAATACGAAAATTTTAATGCACTAAAAGCCATCTTCAGCGCATTTACCAATATCTCTGGAATACTACTTCCTAGATGAGTGATTAGGATATCACATTTGACATGGGATTAACTTCACCTCCAGTCCCCCAATGAAACCAACACAGTTGGAAACAGTGTTATTAAAGGCCCAAGGCGCTAGAGGTCCTATGGAGCTTAGGCGCGAGGCGCACGGCAAGGCGCGTGTCCGAGTGAAGTGGGCCGCACAATTGAAAATTTACCATAAAAAAATTCATATCTCATAAGTCATATCAATACTCTAAAAATTAATATCAAATATAAAAAAGAAAATCCATCAACTAAACAAACATCCAACAATCATAAAATAGAGCACAAATTTGTTTTCTTGAAAGGTAAAGCAGAATTTGTTTTTTTGAATAGCAAAACAAAGCACAAAAACAAATAAATCTGTTAACAAAAAAAAAATGTTAACAAGAAAAGAAAAAAAAAAAAAAAAAAAACAGAGCCAAAAAAAAAAAAAGATGCAGAAACAGAAGAAGTAGATGAAGAGAACTAGACGAAGAGAGAGATGTAAACAAAGATAAGAAGAGAGGAGTAAGGGAGAAGAGAGGAGTAGAGGAGTAGAGAGAGAAGAACAAGAAACAACTGGCTTCGTCTTCGTCATTCGTCATTCGTCTCACGGTCTCACTCTTTTTCTGTTCGGTTGACACTTTAACTCTTGGGCTTTCTTATTTATTTATTCTTTTTAACAAAAGTTTCTTATCTCATACGATTTGGCTTTCTTATTTGTTTATTAAGTTGCCAAAAGTATCTTTTTGGCTTAAGAAATAGAATAATCATAGTTTTTAAAAAAAAAAAATCAGTCAGGCGCGCCTGACAAACAAGACGAGACGTGCCTTTAACAACTGAGCGTGTGCAGGTGGCACCAGTAAGCTATCACACTGGGCGAGCTACAAGTGCACAATCCCACATCAGCTGGGTGTGGATGGGGCAAGTGCTATATATAGATTCAACACCCTTATATGACACAACGCGTTTTAAAACCGTGAACTTAATACCAGAATGGGTGACCCCCTGAAAAGTCTCTAGTCTGGAGCAGCCAAAAGCAGACAATATTGTGTCTGGCTCGGGTGAAGGTTGTTAAAAAATGGTATCAGAGCCTACCCCAGCCAGAAGTGTGGCCAACGAGGACGTTAGGTCCCAAAGGGGGTGATTGTGACGACCTTGTGGGCGGGTGTGTGTGAGCGTGGGTAGGTGGCACAAGTAGGCTACCACACTAGGCCACATCGCCTAGGTGTGGATAGAACAAGTGCTATATGTAGATTCAACAACCTTCTATGACACAACGCGTTTTAAAGCCAATAACGTATTCTTATACAACAATAAATTAAATAGTAGGAACACAGAAAACTAAATGATAGCCACTCAGAAAAACCATCTTTTATAGCAAGGAAGGAAAACTAAACTCACTGGAAAAATAATTTGGAGAGTTCTGTGAGTTGTTGACTGTTGCAAGAACTCTATTTCTAAAAACTTAAAGAAATCCCCAATTGTAATACAGCATAAAGATAAAACTCAGGACAACAAGTGCTAAACGATGTGTAGGCTGAAAATTTGGAGATTCAGTTGTGAAAGGACAACATGTATGAAAGACGTCTCTAGCATTCCAGAAAGTGTAAACAAGATTTCCACCAATGTCAATTATAATAGACAATAACTGTCTAAAAGACTGACCACAGAAGTTATCAAAAAAATTTGAAGTTCTAATATGAAATAAACCAATATAGTTTTATTACCCCAAAACCGAGAAGGAAAAAATGAAGAATATGGGAAATAGTCTTGTATTAACCGACTATCTAGGAATGAAACAATTTAATATGCCCAGTCAACATCAAATTAACTGAAGAATTTGCTTCCTGACGAACATAAACGTCACTATGATCAAAATAAATAAACAATCCTCTATCTTTGCAAATTGTGCAAGAAATATTGAAGCCCTAAAGCATTTAACTATGGTTTCATGAACTAAACCCTAATTCTAACCATGTCATGAGTAATTGAAATAAAGAACCACATATTGAACAAATAACATTAAAACCTAATATTTACATGATATATATAAATACATATATATATATATATATAAACGACTGACAGATCGAAGAATGAGAGCGAGACATAGAGAGAAAAAAACGCATACCTCACCCACGGTCCGCGACGAGAGAGCGAACGAAGCTTCGAAAACTTGTGAATTGAACCTCTGGTATGTGTATATAGCGTATATACTATAAGATCTTTCAGTTTTCTACTTTTGGGGTTTCGATTTGGTGAGGATATATAAGCAGAGAGTAGGCGAAGTAGGGTACGAAGTGCGCAGTTTATAAGACCACTACTATGTGTTGGCGGTTGCAAGGTAAATGCAATTCTGTGAATCCGAGCCCTAGAAACCACTATAGATGTTTTATCTTTGCCGTATCACTTAGAGGATTTTGTGTTTGGAAACAAGACTAGTAATAAATCTTCTTTTTATATGGTCGCAATTGGGTTTTTTATCAACCTTTCAAAAAAAAATTAAAATTAGGTTTTTTATCCACATTATTAATTAACATGTGGGTTGGAGGCTATGATTATAATATACTAAGAACAGTACTTGTCTACTCACCGGTGAGTAGAAATTTCATACTTACTACTTATGTGGCAGGACAATAAAGTGACAAGTGTCCCTTCAATATAAAATAAAAAATAAAAGATTTGAAAAGTTATTTGAGTTAAACCCAATAAAATCTGAATCAAATCCTAACTTAATTCTTTCTCTTTCTCATAAAATCCGAATCAAACCCAAAAAAATTATGTAGAAGGAATTTAATTAAGCTTTTTGATGATGGTGAGACTTAAGAGTTCAATTGTAAACCTAGTCACTCCCTAATAGAGTATTTGCATTAAAATATGCTTATTAACATTATTCAAATAAATAAAAGAAATTATTTAGTCACGATTTGGTAAAAAAATAAAATTTGTTTTCTTAAGAATTCTTTCTGGTTGATTTATAAGACAATCATAGATTCATATTTATTAGTATCTACCTTTACACAAACAATTTGGTTTTTTTTTTTTTTTTTCCCTTGTCAACAAGAAGGCAATGAAGGGCTAAACAATACAAGTCACGCTTCAAAAGAACAAATATATATATATATATATATTAGTTAACACATGAAATCTTATCACTCACAATCGAAAATCCTAATCCAATTCCTTTCATGGATTTGATTTGAACAAGATACTTGTAGTTATAATTCCTTAAGACTTAGGAATTAAGACAATAGAGTAGCATTGGAAATAATTAATTAGATATGGGTTTTTGGATCTTACCCAACTTCTTAAATTTATTATTATTATTATTATTTTTTACATTGTAGAAACACTTGTCACTTTGTTGTTGCGCCACATCGATAGTAAGCATGAACTTTCTACTCACCGGTGAGTAGGCAAATATTGTCCATATTCTAATTGTGTTTTTCATGGGCAATTGGGCATATTATTTGAAAAATTAAATAAAATATTTTTTTGGGTATTTATTTTTAGGGTTTGCAACAGCTTAACAATATGTTTTACAGGGTAAAAAATAAAGGGAATAAAGCATGAGAGGAATAGGAAAAACTATGGAAATTTTCTTTTTTTGACATCGGTAAACATAGAGGATGGGAATGGGTGTGGGATTAAGGGAGCAATTTCCCTCTTGATCCACAAAAACTTCCCACCCACAAATGAACAAATGGAGGAAATAATTTTCTACATTCCTGTTTGGGTTTTTATGCTTTAAAAATATCTTCTTTTCCTCTAATTATTTAACATACAACAAATAAAATTGTCAAGACTACCTTTTTCCTTACTCAGTTCCATTCCATCAGAGAAAAGAAAAGAAAAGAAAAGTAGGGAATACTTCTTTTTTCCCTATCAATACTTATTTCAATCCTCCTATATTTACTTCCAACTTTTGACATTTATATGAAGCAAAATCCTCCTATAGTTGTATTTCTTTGTGCAACTGGAACAATCATTACAATAATTAAATTGATCAACAAATTATAAATGAGTAATGTTAACCAATCAATTAAAAAAAGCATTAAATGATTCAATTTAATTTTAACAAATTAAAAAAAATTATTTCAATATAGGGCTAATTGCAAAAAATCTTCCTTAACTATTATTACTCAGTTGCTAAAAAACACCCCTTATGAATATTTTTGACAAAAAATTCCAGAGGTGTGTTTTTAACCGATATCGTTTGAGTGATTATTTGACGGATTTTTCGGACGAAATCACCCCTTAACAGATTATTCTTAACATTTTTTTTTTGTTCCTCTCTTTTCTCTCTCTCTCTCTCCCCGTCAAGCAAGCTCTGTGAATCAACAAAGAAAAATTCCCCCCAAAAAAAAAAAAATGGAAAACTAATAAAATCATATTTAAGCTATGTATAATTAATAAAATAAAATTGAGTACAATAGCATAGGAGAGAGAAAATCCACCATGGCGTTGGAATAGAAGATGAAAAAATTAAGCAGCTCAATAACTCCTTCAGTGCACTTGATCTTTAGCAGGCATTATAACATTTAATTATTTTAAGGAAAATAATTAATAATTTGTCATGTTTTCTTATTCCAATTTATTAATTATTTTAAGGAAAATAATTAATAATTTGCCATGTTTTCTTATTCCAATTTATTCTTTTCCTTAATTGAATTATGCTACTGCAAGGTAAGTGGACTAAAATTGGCAATTAAAAAGCAACATAATTTCTTTTCATATATGAATTTTTTTAAAAAAAATTTACTTACTTCAAGAACACGAAATTCCCCAAAGTCACTTTTTAAGACTGAAATAATTGTAGCGGATGTACTCAAGTTAAAGACCTAAAAATATGACCACTTTTTAATGTGAAAGGACGTTGTTGTCCTCTATTCAATTCATAATAATCTAATTATAAAGGACATTTAAGTTATTTAGTTTGAGATAAATGCATTTATTATTTCATCACTACTACTTGAAAATTGTTTGATTCCACCACCTGCTACTCGAAAATTACATATCATGTGGACATGGGTACTTTTTGGGAAGTTTACTCACTCTTATTATTAATATGTTGATATTCACATTCCACTTTTCTCTATTGTACTACATTTACATTTTTTATTTTAAAGAAAATGAGAAGAAAGTCGTTGAATTCATTAATGTATTATCCCTTAATTTATAATGTTATAATTACCATTTATACAATTTTAACATTTTTTTTTACCTTATTTACTTTGTTTACTATTTTTTTTACCTTTTTATTTGTTTTTACAGAGGTCCTCTCAAAGAAAAGAATTTATTTCATACTAATGATTTAATTTTTTACCGTCAAAATAAATAATTTATTCCATAATGAATTTTTTTTTTTTTTATAACAATTGAAAGGGATATTATTCAACAAAGTTAACTTTTTTTCATTCAAAAGATGTTATTTTTTTTTTTTTTTGATAATTTTTTAAGGTCCTGTCAAAAAAAGTAATTTATTAGATCAAAATAACTTTTTTTTTTTTGGGTTTTATCAAAAGAGATAATTTATTCAATCTAGATAAAAATAATATATATAATCCTCTTTTTTTCATACTTTTTTTTTTCTTTTGCAGATGTTGACAAAAAAAATAATTTCTTCAATAAATATTTTTTTCTGGGTTTTTTTTTTTAACGTCAAAAGTGATAATTTTTTTAATAGTTACTTTTTATGTTTTTTGGTCCGGTCAAAAGAGTCAATTTATCAACATAAATTTTTATTTCTTGGTCCCGTAAAAAAAATAAAATTATTCAATTTATTTTTTGTCTTGTCAAAAAAAACCTAAAATAATAAAGATTAGATGTAAGGAGAAGAAATCTAAAATGACAGTTTTGTCATTTAAAAAGTAATAATTATTTACTTGTAAAGTTGGGGTTAGAATTGCCATATTATTTAAGATTGTAATGCAAAGGTTGAAAAGTGGAGTGCAGATATCGCCTCCTTTTTTTTTAAGAAAAACTCTTACTATTTAAATGGTAAGAAACCAAATGAAACATAACACTTTTTGCATGCAAATGATTTGTTCAATTACATGCAAATAATTTGTTCAATTACATGAATGAATCGTGACATTCAAAAAAAAAAAAAGATTAAGTGAATATAGCTGAGTATTCATGGGGCCTCAACTATTGTATACATGTGCTATATTATGTTGTCCAAGTAGTGTTGAAAGATAAATTTTCAACCATTGGGTTTTTCAATCTGCTGTTAGTTTTGTGTTTGAAGGAATGAGAAGACTTGCTTAACACGGAGAGAGGAGAGAGAAAAATAAATAAATTGTATGAAGAATAATCTGTTAAGTGGTAATTTCATTCAAAAAAATTATTAGACAACTACTTAAATGAATATTAGTTATAAACACCCCCTTAGGATAGTTAAGGGAGATTTTTTGCCAAAAAAATTCATAAGGAGATTTTTCACACCTGTGTAATAGTAAAGGGGATTTTTTTGCAATTAGTCCGATTAAATATAAAGAGTCTCATGAGTAGCTCTTTTGATAGCAATACTCGTTACAAATTATTTGTAACAAGAACATTTAAAAGCTAAGTGATACTAGTAAAATTTAGGGATGGCAACGAGGCAAAGTTGGGGCGGGCAGGTTTATCTAAACCCTATTACACCCCATAAAAAAATTCGTGATACCAATTCCATCCCTACTTCGGGACGAGTTTATAATTGGTACACCATCTTGCCCTTACTCCCACAAACAAAGTACCAACTCCACCCGCGTACATGGGCGGAGGGAAGGGGGCTGGCACCTAATTTTTTGGAATATTTCTTTTTTTTTTTAGTGTAGGTAAAAATAAAATAGTATAGCATATATGGTATAAAATCTATACTTGGCCCCCCCTAAGAATATTTTTTTTCATTATTTAATTAGCATATAACAAAAGATAGCTTATATATAATCTAAAAGGAAGTGATTTAATTGACTATTATAAAATCTGATAAAAATTTAATGTGACTATCTTAAAATTTCAACTCAAACATTGTTCTTTCCATAATGTGACTATCTTAAAATCCTTCCAAGCACGATTCTTTTCATAACATTATTATCCTAAAATTCCATCTCATACATTATTCTTTCCATCAATTTTTTTAATTTTTTTACTTTTTATTTATTTTTATTAGAATGCTTTTATAAAAATTCTATAACAAATTAATTTTTACAAAATCTAGAACAAAAATTTCATTTGAAGTTTTGAATATCAATAAAAATCGATAATTTAAGAATCTAAATTCTTATTTTATTAATTTGTTTGTGTTTTTTTTTTTTTTTTTTTTTTATCATTGTTATTGTTTTGTTAAATTTTCAATTTTTTACTTTTTAAATATATATATATATATATATATATATATATATTTGTGTTTTTTTTGTCTTTTCGGTAAATAAAGAAAATTATTTAATTGATTTTTTATTTATTTATAATTTTGGCATAAATCTTATTTGTGTTTGTTTAGAAAGTTTGATAAAAAAATTCTTCAAATAACTAGTTTTTTTATTTTTTTATTTTTTTTTACATAAATTGTCAAAAGTATAGATTGATATATTTTTGTATGAATATAATAAATAGTAGAATATTTTTGTCCACGTAATATTTTTTTTTCTTTGAAAGTTTTAACTAGGTAATGTGTTTATTATTTAATAAATAAAAAATTAGCCCATTGCGCTCAAATTGGGCTGATAAAAAAGTTGGCACAAATTTTAAATTACTAAGTATTGAACCAACATGTCAGTGACCTAGCGGTATCAAACTCCTACTTCTCAAAGAGTGGTCAAGGATTCGAGCCTCAGTGGAGGCATGTGTGTATGAGTACCAAATAGGAAAAAAATAATAATAAAAAATTACTAAGTAGTGAATATTATTACTTCCAGCAAAGTAATAAGGTCTTAAAAATATTATATATATATATATCTATAAATATATTTTAAAGATACATATATAATATGGAGCGGAGTATGATGAACCCACCCCCGCCCAAATCCGTTTTGGGATTTCAAGTATTTTATTGTACTTGTCCCAAATCCATTTAGTTTTTTTTTTAAAAAAATAAAAAATAAAAAAATTTAGGCAAGGTATCCTAGACTATAAAAATAACAACGAAAATAACTTATTCTAAATACAAAGAAAAAATCTAAACTATTCTACAAAATAAAAACTAAAATAAAAGTAAAAAATAAACTCACCAAAAACTATCATAATCTAGGCTACAAAAAGGAAAATAAAATAAAAATTAATCTACCATTCCTAAGATGGTGAAATGTGAAACTTAGAATCCAATATTATATAGACTTAAGTTGTTGAATAGTGCTGCATACCAACACATTTATATTCATTTTAATTTCCATTTGAATCCAATGTAAAACACCTCTAACATTCTCAACTGCCTAAACGCCACTTTTGTGAGTCAGTTACCACCAGACTGCCAACAATGAATGTCATGACTCTTTTACTACACATTTTTTTGAATTGTAAATTCAAGAGATGATTATTGTTTCTTCTCTCTTTAAAATAATAATAATAAAAAGAAAAGCAGTTAGTAGTTACCCAATAAAATCAGATAATGGTTTTTAAATCAATTACACCTACCACTTAATGCTATAAATAAAAAAGATATAGATTTTGTCTTCATTTTTCTGTATTAAATCACAAATCAAGATCTCATGCAACATTGACATCAGAGGCCATGACCCTTTTTTAGTTAAGATCAAAAGAAGCATATATCCGAGTAATAAAAGGGAATGAGAAATGTTTAAATATGCCAGATTTACATTAAGACGGTGAAGAAGAGCAATCCGGGATTAAACTTCATTGGAGCTTGATTTTTCTTTTTTAAGGCATCCCTTCTCCCTTGAAACTGCTAAATTAAGAGTGCTTATTTGGTTCTGGTCGGTCCGGCCACTCTTATCCTCAAAAACTTCCATTGAGCCTGTTTTCATGTTCAGAGGACTTCCTACTTTGAGCGGCCGAGGTTTAACCCGAGCTCCAGCAGGAGAAAACCGGTCCAAAGTTGTCCTTTTCAAGGCCGAAACTCTTCTGCTAATTAACTTGTTCTTGTTTCCAATCATCTCATCATTGTCTGTAAGTAAATGTACAATAGTGTCATCAACCTTACTGATTCAAAATGTAAGTAAAAATATGCATTGGTGAGAGGAAAACATTTTTTGGAGACAAAATGACATTAAAATTAGAACCCTATAGAATGTCTGTTACACATATGATCAGTGGACTCACAAAATTTGAAGTATTCATGTAGAGCTTTATACAAAGTCACAGTTTTATACCAAGCTTAGAGTGTTCGAGCCTCAGTTGAAGTATGTGTGTGTTTATTTAACCTTTCCAGAAATATAAATAAATAAATATAAAAAATGGGCTACCTTGCAAAAGCTCTTCATATAGTCAACTTGAGCTTTCTAGCTTAAAATAACAACATAACATGAACTGGCTCTTTCCGATGAAGAAAATGAATGAAAAATAATAATAATAAGTTAACAAGATTAATTACCTGGACTAGATAAGACAGCACGAGGACGTAGAACTGAACTATCTCTGACTTTCGGTTTGATATCCTCTTGGACCACCTTTGTATGTTTGCTAATTTTCCCTGGCCCTGGAAATTAGTATATGAAATATGTATATATAGCAGCAGCTTTCTCCACATCGAAAACCAGTAAGAGTTGTAAATCATGTTGGATTGAAGATTAAACCTTTAGATGGTGGCTTGAATGTCATTTTTGACTTTGGGACAGAAGTTTCCGGAATTTTGGCAACTGATGGCGGGGATTGATTTTGATTATCTTCTTCGACTGCAGAAAGTATTTGTGGTTAAGAACTACCTAAGCTGGTATCATAAATCAAAAGAAGTCTTCTAAGTTCAATTTAGTAAGCCACGATCAAATTATTATGAATAATGATAGGGTCTGACATTGGGACAAATTCAACTAAATTTATACGAGTAGAAGAAGTTGATGAGCCTATTCACATAAATCAGTGTTGTCCAACTCCAAATCATTATCCTATAATTTAGATTTTGGATGGCTATGTGATTCATGTAATGCACATAATTTTACACCTCTAGGCAAGGTTTCTATTCTAATATGTTATGTACCCCTAATAATCTCTTCATTAATTCACTGAGACTGTGTTCAGTTGTATGGAATTGGAGCTTTGGAATTAAAAGTTGTAAAATTGGAGAAAAGCAATTCTCAAAGTTGTGGCCAAAATTTTCTCCAATTTCACTAATTCTAATTCTAAATCTACAATTTCATTCAGCCGTCTAAATTTAATTAGAAATCACCTATATAGCCAATCAAACGAGTGCAGATATGGGCAGGAAAACTAAGAAAAAAGATATGGACAGGAAACAAAATCCCCAAGAACCCAATTCACAGTTCAGAGAATTAAAGAGAAACACAAAATGTTCAAAAATTCAACAGGTATATGAATAAAGTAATGAGAATCAGATTGTACCATGAGAACCAAGTGTACATGGAGGTGACTCGAAGATTTTCGATTCCGGCAGGGAGTTGGCACCATCATGCAGATTAAAAGGGTCATCTTCATCTTCTTCTTTCACTTTCACCTTTGGATACACTTCAACATTCAAAAACAACATATACCCACATAAGATATCACATGTCTATCAAAATAAAAAGGAGAAAACTGATATACATATATAACACACACACACACACACTGTATATAATAGAAAATCAAACAAAACTCGAGCAGATCGAATATATTACTCACTCTTTTTTCTGTTTCATTTTCAAATGGAATAGTTCTTCAGTATTTATAAGCAACGTGTATGGAAGGACAAAATTGGGGTATTTTTCAAAAGTAAAGGACAAAATTGGGGTAAGAAGAGGAATACGTGAAGTGACAGTGTAGGGTGGAACGGAAGAAAAGAAAGGGCCATTGAGGGAATTGAAAAGTGACAGTGTAGAGTGGAACGGAAGAAAACAAAGGGCCATTGAGGGAATTGAAAAGTGACAGTGGTTTCTTGACTTGAAAACCAAGAACAAGTTGATTCTTCTGCAGGCACGAGGCTGTAGAGGGTCCACTTTACACATTACACATTAACATATCACACACACACACGCATATATAAACATTCGCATACATGCACATGTTTTTTGGTTAACTGGTAAGCTTATATACATGCACATGTTAATGTGTCTTCTGTTTTAGAAAATGTAGTGAAAGATAATTAAATAAATCATATAATTGTTCACAAGTTTTAGCTTTGGTTTTGATATTCACACTTCACTGGTTGCTTAGGCAATAGCAGCAAGCCAGCAATAAATAAAATGGAGTGCTGATATCAATTCTCTAATTTAAATGTGTCACCGTTGCATTGTAAGTCTTTCCTGTTTCATCTAAAATTATTATATAGAGATTCGGGCTAAGTATTTATCTTGGTGCAATCATATTTTTATAAAATAATAACTAGTTGCTGTTAACACCCAAATTTGATCCACATTCATATACATACTAATTTTTGCATTTTTGGGCCAACAACAATGAAAGAGTGACCTTTTAGTTCTATTTTGGTAAAACTCCTTATTATATTGAAACACTCATATGTTACATAACTATCAAATGATGATACTACAAAAATTGGGTAAAGTTGAAAAATGAGCTTTTAGTTTGACCAATGTTAGTATGCAATGTAAGGAAAGTCCAAAATCTTGAACAACACACTTTCATAGTTTCCTTATCTAAAGGTGAATAATGAGCAAGGTGATGACGTGGCACACATCAAGCAATGGTAACATGGTTGGTGCTTTGGAGAGAAATTCACTGTAAATATCCAACTAAGGCTATAAGCAAGAGGACCCCAAAAACCAACATTATGTTTCTCTTTCTTATCTCCTTTATGCCACTGGCCTTTTTTATTTTCTCCTAGCAATAGTTCATAGTGTAGTTTTATAACTCATCTTTTATTTAGTTTATCAGCTTTCATGTAAACTTATCATAGTCGTTGTCTTACTCTTTAGTATTGGTTGATTATCAATGTTTCCACTTTTATTTCCCATGCTCTAGCTTTTGTTACATTCTAGTTTGTACTTTGTATTTTCATTAGATACTAATGAAATATCACTTTATTTTAACAAGAAGATGTATTCATTCAATTTGCCACCATTATTTTCTCCTTCATTTTACTCTTCATATCATCTTCATCAACCATTTGAGAAAAATTTAAGTCCTTGTTATCGATCAAGGCAATGCTAACCCAGTAGGAGGTGTTTTCCCCCCCTCCTCACAGTCGCCTAACCAATTTTTGGGACTAATCCAACATGGGGAATATGGTTCGGCTCATACCCTGAGTTTGGGTCAAGGACTTTGGCACGCCCGCACTTCTCAAGAGCCGAAAATTGTGCAAACAATTTTTGGCACGCCCAGTGGGACTTCTATGTGGTTGAAAGATGATTTAGAAGCCGTTGTCACTGCTCTACAAAATGTTAGTGCCCTTCTTAGCAAACCAAGGAGCTGTTTTACAAGATTTAAAAGTTCATTTAGCAAAAAGTTTAAATGGTTTTGCAGAAAATCAGAAAAAGTATTTTTCAAGATTTGGGAGCGGATATTGAAAAATGCTTCAACTCTCTGATTCCCTAAAAGGTCACGATTATCACATAGTTGAGCATGGCCACAAATATGATCACTTTGTTGGCCAAAAAAGCTTAAATCAGATTCTCGAATGCAATAACCGAGAAGGTGATGTTCATAAGGATACGGGGGGCAAGAAGTGATCCGGGTGGTTACAGCCGAAGAAATGGCACCACTTCCATGCCCCAAAATTTTTAAAGTTAGACATTATGATAAACAACACCAGAGGAAAATCCATCGTAAAAGAGTATCAATTAATTTTACTAAAATAGCGGCAAGTAGAAAGTTTGACACAAACACTCGTAGGTCTATGGACGAGTGGGTGAGTTTTTCCTTCTTATATGTAAAATTTTATTTTCATATTTGACATCTTTACTGGATTGTTGGAGCTCACAAACTATTAAGTTTGTTAGTTTGGCTGGCATGTGAGCCAGGAGGATCTATCAGTTTCTATATTGGCTGAATATTTTATGGTTCTTCCTTGGCCATTAAGACAGCCACAATATTCTGATACTCTGGCACTCAGTATCTAAATGATGCCTATCATAACATCTTAGGGCCTATTCGATAGCTATTTTACTTTATGTGTTTTTGTTGCAGGGTTTCATTTCAAGCCCAAAACATGTTTGGTAACTATTGTTTTGTTTTAAACAGTACTAAAACATTGTTAAAATTTGGGCTCAAAAGTGAAACACCAAAATGGTGTTTTTTGTTGTTTCAATACTGTTAGCCCAATAAAAGCACTGTAGTGGAAGTAGGTTATGTCGAACACTGTAGCGGTGGAAGTAACTTTAACCAAACTTGCAACATGTATATAAACCATACTTAAAAACATTTCAGTCATTTTGTAGGGTTTTCTAGAGAGCTCAAGCGGAGGTGATTTTGTGGCAACTCTACAGTATGTGCTTGTTTGGCTGAAAACGACGACCGATCCTTGCTTTTAGTGGTGTTTTCGCTCAATCTGACCACCGATCTTTACCATTTTGTTGTCTTTGTCGAAGAACAAGGCAGGTTTGAGCAATTTTTGCCTATTTATTACACTATGTTGAACATATTTCATGTTTCTCAGTTCTTTCTTCAACTTTTGTGGTTAATAATCGTCAAATATTGTATGATTTTAGGGTTTTCTTAAACATTTAAGTTCATTGATTTGAAACCCTTTTTTTTTCATTTTTTCTGATAAACGACCACAAATGCCAGTTTTCTGAGGTTCGATTTGGTTCATTTTTCTTCAAAACCATGCTTATTATTGTTTATGAATGAATCAAGTTGCTTCCAAATGTCTCTCTTATCTTGGCCTGTTGGAGATTGGGTCCATCTCATTAATTGATTACTCTTAAAAGAAATACTTTGATTGTTACTTTAAACATGGTAGTTTTGGCTACTACATTATACACTTTGTGGAAGGAGAGGAACAATATATTATTGAAAAATGACTTCAAAGAGAAATTATTGAGGTTGTCAAACTCAAATTTTATTCTCTTAAGAGGTTAATAGGGAATGGAATTTACCCGAATCAGTTTTAAGTAAAAAGTTAAAGTAATGTGGTGGTTATGCTTAGTTCGACACCAGTGTCTAGGTTGGTATTTGTTTTAGTTCCTTGATACTTATCAGAACATAGTAGGTACTGCAGATTGTATAAGATTAGTTTGGCAGTCTTGCTCTGGACCATTTGATGGACTCCTGTGTGGTTTCATTATTAGTTGACCTGTTATAATTTTGTTGTTAGGTTGAGAGAAAGATTATTTACTTCAACGAAAGGGCCTGCAATAGTTGGTGTTGTGCTGACACAGAGTTTTAAGTTGGTTTTGTTTGAGGTTTAAAAGCTTTTTGATATTAGGTTTATTGTGAGAGCTTATTTTTGTTGGTGGTGATTTTTTTTTTTCTCTACCTTTTGAGTATTGTCTTTGTTAGCTATAAGTTTGATTGTTTTTGTGTTGTTTTGTTGGTGGAGAGAAGGTATGCCTCCTTGAATGTTGTATGTCTTTTGATTTGCTGGTCATATGTTTTTTCTTTTTCTTTTCTAAAATTTGGGAAAGTTTTAAATTCTCTTCTCATTATAGATTGGTGGCATTGGAGCTTTTTCTACACTGGGGAATGCCTCTTGAATACTTGTTTTACTTTGTTAATAAAAGTCTAATTACCTAAAAAAAAGTGGCTATAATTATTCCGTCTTTGTTTCTAAATTTTTGTGGGTATTGATGTTGATGATCACTGGAAAATGAGGAATTTAGGGTGGAAGATACTCTTAGGTGTTGGTGCTATATGGTTGCTAAGTATTAAAAAAATGGTGAACACGTCATTTTTCTGCTCAATTATTTTTAATAAATTTTCCTGTTGTTACTGCATTATGCTAATGTGCCTTTTTGTTTCTAATTTTTAAGGGAATTCATGTTGATGATGACTGGAATATTCAAATATTATTTGGATAATGTTGTGTGTGTTTGGTGCTATAATGGTTCATTGTTGCTGTTTGGAGTGGACTAGAATTGTGCTTTTATATAAAAGACTTCCAATTGTGACCATGTTGCTGTTAGCAAAATTTGGAACCTACTGGACTTTGCTTCATTTGGTAATGCTAGACTTAAAAGGGGCTACTCTACCATATTTGGTTGTTTTTCATGATGTCAATGCAGTTTCAGAAAGCACTTGAAGTGTTGTAAGAATTTTTTTTTTTTTTTTTTTTTTTCCAATTTTGCCTTTTGTAAATAATACAATTCAAGAGCTGTGTATAGACAGTTGAGACATCTTTATGTAAAATTGTTGGATTTATTATTATTATACACAACAAGTTGTATATTGTGTTATCAAATGTATTTCAATGGAATGGATGGTTTTGTTGAGTTGAATTGAATTAGCTATCTTTTTTTCTTTTTTTTCTTTTCTTTTTTTTCTTTATTTCAGAGAACTTATATAGGTTGAAAAATTTTCTTTAAAAAATTAGTCAAACCAGTAGGCAATGGCACATAGCCTACAGGTTCATAGAAAGATTATGTACTCCAAAGAAAGCAAAAGAAATGTTGGGATTTGCTAATCATAATAATATCAATACATTAGCAAAGAAAAAGAGTTCTATAAGAAGAACCA